TATCATCAGTATTAGCATTCTGGAGGGTTGGGATGTCATTTAGAGATTTATTTTTGTTGTATATTACTATGAAAAACTTGTAACATACAGTTTTAAGATAAATCTGGTATGGATTGTAAATTTTAAAGTTTGAATTTTTTTTTAGATTAATGTTCAGTTTTATGACTGTTATGTAGATATATTTCTCTTAATATACAAATTTACACTTCTGCCTTTGACCCTTTTTAGTATTAGGTGGAAATCAATTAAAAATTATTACTAACAGCAAGATCTTGTTCAATGATAAAATCATAAATTGAAAAAGGGAAATAAAAAAAAGAACCGAATATGATACCTGGTAATTTGCACTTTTTTGTTAAAAATGTTGATATTGTTTGAGGCCTTTTTATGAGGATGTGCAGGATTTTATCCAATGGCCTTGGTAATGATAAAAGCTTCAGCAATTTACATTTTGACTGGGAGAGACAGGAGATTGGAGAGGATGCTCCAGTTTGATTTGGGAACCTCATTGTGGCCTTTAAAATAAATCTAGACATATACAACAAACACCAGTAAGATTGTTTTCTTGTTTACTTTTAAAGAGCTGGTAGATTACAGCAAGAAATATTGAAGTATTTAACTGATATTGGAGTAAGCTTGAATATTTTTACCATATCTGACAGTGGGTTGGTGTGATTTTGTCACTAATGATGTGTAAACCTATGGTGATCACTATATATAAATATATATCAAGTTTGTTGAGTGTTATGTCAGAAATCTTATTAGTTTTACACACTGTTATTGCCTTTGTTATGGTCTCTGCTTTTCATTGTTATACACCATATACAATTTTCATAATTCAACCCAAGGAATTTATTCAAAATAAAAATGATATTGATGAAAATCAAAAAAGAAAAAATTGAGTCATCACCACATGACTGATTGATAAACAACTATCTCAAAAGGACATTTTAGTAAAATTTGTTAATTTTCACATACTTCAAAATTTCATTCATATTGCATCATTTTTTTTTTAATTCACAAAATTGAAATTAATGCTGATTTGGCTGTGATTGATTTCATGTGTACATATTATATCTTATTCCCTTGGGTGAAAAGAGTCCAGCTTTAAGCTAAGAGTGTATTGACGGCAGGTGGTAGGTGTTGTTTTGTTGTGTTTTGGTGTAGATAAGAAACAAACCACATTTGGTTCTTGTTGTTATTTTCTTTATGTACAGTTTATATTTTGCATAGAACTTTATGAAAGTCTTAAGTCTTGTATAAATTTGAAGCAAGTCTGACTTCAAGATTACAATTTATCATAATTTGAATAGACTAGAAGATAACTTAATCTAAATATTCTTTAAAAAAAAAACAGTTGAACAGATATATGGAGGTAGTGAGAACAATGTTACACTACAGCATATTTTCTTCAGTGCTAGTAAATTTTATAGAACTGTTACACACTCAAACAGTTTTCCTGTATCCCGTTGCATTCATACCACCATAAACACAATGGAAATGCAGTTCATTGTCTAGACTTAATGTTATAAACAGGAGTCTTACATTTATGTAAATCTATGGTAATTGAATGATTACATCTGAGTGGACTTTTTCAACATGATTTTGTTCATTACGTATTTGATGGACATCTTTGTAAGATCTCCTTGTGATGCAATCAATTTTACTTTCATATTTTACAACAACATTTGACAAATTTTGTATTAGTTAGACATTTCAGTGTAAGATCTTGATTATTCTAATGTAGCCAATCAGTTTTCATTATTAACAAATATTTGAATTGTTAAAAAATGATTACTTTTTGTAAATCTTTCAATTTGTTTGGTAGATTGTGATAACCTATATTATATATTATGATCATAGATAATCATCTATAGCAACATTAGTTTATCTGTGCTTGCTTGTTTAACATGTGTAACCAGGAAACTCCAGTGTTTTCATGGAAACTAAGTATAATTCATCGTTTCCATGACAACCAAGTGTAAGAGGAGTAATGACAACCAGAATTACTTTAACATCTCATAGAAATGTTACATTTTAATTTTCTACTATGTTTAAGCATGAACTAATACCTACTTGAGAGTATTGAACAAATTATAGTGAATTTATTTGTAACTTTGGCGCAGTCATTGGCTTTTGAATTGTAACATAACCAATATCTGAATATTTGTGCAAAAGATAAGTATATTAATATAGATAAATATGTAATGTATAGCTTGTATATAGAGTTGTAAGTAAAGTTAAGTAATTACGTTTTTATGGAAAATTCCTTGTGTTTATATCTTTCCTCTTATGGACTGTTTAATGGTGTGGCAGCCATTTTCCTGTTCCTTCTGGTAGCCACGGGTCACAGTGGTCACATGTCTGGGAAATTTAACCACAACAAAACTTTTTCGGCTTACCAAATTTTCAACATGTTAATGAAATTTATTGATTCAAGAATAGATATACTTGAAACAGAACAAAATTAAAATCTTATGAATATTTTATTGAAAATTTTGGTAAAAATGATGGTGAATTTGAAAGAGACATAAGATTGTTAACCTATGGCATGTTGACACTGAAACGTAACTAGGAGGGGAGAACAGAGAAAATGTTCAGTCTGTTACATCAAATTAGTAACTCACACTGTAGTAGTTGTAGTGGTATATTAAAAACTCTTGCACGTTTCCATTGAGTTTGACTTTTTAATTACTTATATTATTACAAAATTGTATTTCAGCAAAATAAACAAATAACGGTGTATCCCAATTTTCAGCTCATATGATCCTTTAATGATCCAAGGATTATGACATGAAATTTTAGAACTATATACAGGTAGCAGTTTACAAAAAGACTGAGTTAAGCTATTAGATATAGCCATGGAGTCCAACCTCACACATGGAAACATGGTTCATATGTTATGCTATGCTACTAGGATTAGCCTTAGGGTCAACTTTCCCCAAGATCCATCCATGGATCATGATACAGATGCAGTTGTAATAATCACCCTTTAACCATAGACAAGCTTACCGAAGATGAAGGAATAAAGAAAACTAGCTATTAGAATGTACCTATTTGGAGGCCTTCCCTCCCTTCTGGACAGTTCATGTGTCGTGTCATTTGAAAAGATGAGATCCCCAACTTATACCATATACAGGTACCTACCTGCTAGATATATTGTACCTATGAAACCATATACAGGTACCTACCTGCTAGAGATATTGTACCTATAAAACCATATACAGGTACCTACATGCTAGAGATATTGTACCTATAAAACCATATACAGGTACCTACATGCTAGAGATAATGTACCTATAAAACCATATAAAGGTACCTACCTGCTAGAGATATTGTACCTACCTGCTAGAGATAATGTACCTACCTGCTAGAGATATTGTACCTATAAAACCATATACAGGTACCTACCTGTTAGAGATATTAATATTGTACCTATCTGCTAGAGATATTGTACCTATAAAACCATATACAGGTACCTACCTGCTAGAGATATTGTACCTATAAAACCATATATAGGTACCTACCTGCTAGAGATAATGTACCTACCTGCTAGAGATATTGTACCTATAAAACCATATACAGGTATGTATCTACTAGAGATATTGTACCTATAAAACCATATACAGGTACCTACCTGCTAAATATATTGTACCTAAAAACCATATACAGGTACCTACCTGCTAGAGATATTGTACCTATAAAACCATATACAAGTAACTACCTGCTAGATATATTGTATCTATAAAACCATATACAGGTACGTACCTGCTAGAGATATTGTACCTATAAAACCATATACAGGTACCTACCTGTTAGAGATATTAATATTTTACCTATCTGTTAGAGATATTGTACCTATAAAACCATATACAGGTACCTACTTGCTAGAGATATTGTACCTACCTGCTAGAGATATTGTACCTATAAAACCATATACAGGTACCTACCTGCTAGAGATATTGTACCTATAAAACCATATACAGGTACCTACCTGCTAGAGATATTGTACCTATAAAACCATATACAGGTACCTACCTGCTAGAGATATTGTACCTATAAAACCATATACAAGTAACTACCTGCTAGATATATTGTACCTATAAAACCATATATAGGTACCTACCTGCTAGAGATATTGTACCTACCTGCTAGATATATTGTACCTATAAAACCATATATAGGTACCTACCTGCTAGAGATATTGTACCTATAAAACCAGATATAGGTACCTACCTGCTAGAGATATTGTATAAAACCATATATAGGTACCTACCTGCTAGAGATATTGTACCTATAAAACCATATATAGGTACCTTCCTGCTAGAGATATTGTACCTGCTTGCTGAACATATGAGTCATGATTGGGAATCCTTTGAACAGAAAATGATAGCTGTGTGCCGAACATTTCGGGCTCCCATTTGGCCTAAAATCTTTACCATTTTGAAATCTGCAATACCAGAGAAACGAAGGCAGTGACTCTGGGAGATCAGAATATGTGCCGACTTTTACCTAAGCCACCAGATTGGATTTCCTAGTACTGAAGTTTCGCTTCCATGCAGAGCGATACGTGGGGTAATGTGAACTGATGTAAACTAATGCACAATTACAAAATATTTGTGTTAAGGAGAGTTCACTGCTGATGTAATTCGTATTTGAAGTTGACTATACATGCCAATAGGCTTTTTGTTTTCATCGGGTTGTTTTGATATCTGTAATTTTTTTTTATCACACTGAGATTTTAATATTTTGGGAATTGTCTCCGTCTTTCAGTTACTTGATTATTTTAAACTCCCTGTACACGTGGTGTCAACTTGGATATAAAAGTTGATAAACTTTTTTAAAGAAAAAATAGACAAAGTACGTGTTTACTTGATATTTAATGTCGGTGTCCGCTTTATCTAGTTCGTACCCGCAACGAACTTTGAGTAGGCCTATGGTACGCCACGCCTACGGGACTTCAGTTGATCATAGACTGAACACACTGAAATCGGGACACCATGACCACGAGAGTGCCCCACCACCGGGTCTTGGTGCTGGGGGCAGGGATAGCAGGGATATCTTCTGCCCACTACCTCAAAGCAAACGGAATTGTAGACGTCGTAGTGTTGGAAGCTAGTAGGAGGTTAGTTCATATTTTAGTGTCGCGAGCGTAAACTGTTCCATGTGCGAAAAGTGTCCCACATGCTCCTTTGAAGTATGGATCCATCAGAGCAATATCATATGTAACAGTTAGTCAGATATAACGATAATACTTATATCTTATTCGCTTTAAAACCTTTCCATGCCAGGTCGTCTAATTCAAAGTTCACGACCTTACTAGTGACGTATATAAAGCACACGTCTCTGACCTAACCATGCTTGTTTACAACCGCTTTGACGCAACGCGGGCCGGGGCGAACTTGATTCGGTTCTGCCCACTAACAACAGATCGCTCGTTTAAGGACTGTTGTATATATTTTTGTCGGCTTTCAATGAATTTGATATTGTTGTTATGGTGTGGAGATTTACTTGATAGAATACTTAATCAGTCTATGAACAAACCCAGCATATGAGTAGTAGTTTGAGTGACAGTTACTGATTTCGAGTAATAAATCGTTTACTCCAATGGGCAAGTACTTTGAAATGGAAACAAATAAAGTACTTTTAAATATTTGTAAATGAAAAAGTCAACATATTTTTTACATGGCACAATAAACAATACAACATTTCTACATAAAAAGTGGCTATGATAACTCGGCTGTCTGGCTTTTTGCAAAAATGCAAACTTTATCACCCAAGTGGTTTTCTCGCTAAAAATCCTATGACATACGCACCAAGTGCATATACTCCCGAATGGCCATACGGTGTAGTCAATGGAGAACAAAATCAGTGACATAATTAGTATTTATAGCACAAAGTTAGAGAACAGAAGTGATTTTTATAATATAATCAGTATCGCATTGGCTATTAAGGCATTAAATTTAGATATATGTTTTTATTTCGAGTTATTCCCCTTTTTCAATAACCAAGTACTCCCATTATTCCAATCTGCCCAACCTGTTAAGGAAGTCAGTTTGAAGTAATCCAGATATGTTGTCATAATTACAAACTTAAAGAGTACGTTTGTATATATAGATGTACTATTTGTAACTATGGTGTAACTATGTTTATAAATGAATGCTAATTAAAATGAATTAAAATCAATAACGAAGTGAAAAAAATCAAAGCTAGAACTTTATTCACACAACATAATTGTCAATTAGCTTTATATCCAGGTCTTAAAAAAAATAACACAAATTACTCCATTTTTTAAACATAAAGACAGCTGACTGATATCTGTCTAATATTCTCTACACATAAAAACATATGGAAGTGGTGTGTTTTCCTACATCCTCGATACTCCATGCGTTATGATCACAATCTCTCTCTGCACCTTTTAAATTGTTTCACGGCAAAATGGAGGGTTCTATGTGCGACACTATTTGGATAAGACAAGAAGACTAGTTTGATCCTTTGATGTACATCAAATAAATCTTGATGTTGCATAACAGTTTGTTGTGCAGGCTGTGAAGTTGAGTGTCGCTCCTTTGTAATCTTCGAAAGAGCGTATTATTTTGTGATTGGTCAGTTTTGCTTACGCAAGTCAAATCAAATTACTCTCCTTGTGCTTTCAATTTTTAAGTGAGATGTCCCAATGGTGCAGAGAGCGAAAGTGATGTTAACCCTTGGAGTATCGAGCATGGTTATTCCAATGTTCAGGCTTGTGAGTATTCAGACCCAATAAACAATAATTGATTGTTATAATTACTAAGTTACCATTTAACAGTCCTTGTAACATGGTATGGCATGTGAAACACGTGCAGAAATGAAATGTGACACTATCCGTCACAGAAACAAGAACAGCATCTCCGAGTTGAATTGTCCGACGAGAGTTTTTGGTATGTCATATTAAAGCATTCATATTTCTTTTAGAATTGGCGGAAGGATACATTCAACGGAATTTGGTAAAAAGGCTTCCGGTGACAATGCCATCGTGGAGTTGGGTGCTAATTGGATCCATGGTAGAGCTCACAACCCTGTATACAAACTAGCTCTGGATAAAGGTCTCCTGGAACCGCTTGTTCATCTCGACAGGTGAGTATACCAAGAAAGCTGCTTACTACATGAATATGTACTTAATTTTTTTCTTCGTTAGAAACGCCATGTTACAGCGGCCTGTTCATATGCCGACAATTTACAATTACTGCAGCTTCACAGAGATAGTGCTGAATATGTCGGTCCCTGTTTGGTAAGGAAACCTACTACTCTGAGCGTGACACACGTTGATGGTTCTTAGCAAACCTAAACCTCTGGACAAGTTGAAGTGATGGTTCTTGAATGTGAATTCACATATACTTCTGAAACGATATTTTCATAGTACAGCGTGCAAACTTTTATGTGCTATATCGTTTGAATAATGGTATCAGTTTTCCATGTTTAGGGCATCAATAGATGGTTTTTTTTCTACGACAGAGATTTAAACTACACCCAGTCTTACATACCTTGACATAAGTATGCCCAGTAGAAAACGTAATGTAATAGAAATGACATAGTTTAAATCATTTAACATGATCGTTTCTGAGAATTCGAACAGAGGAGCTGTGTTCCTTAAAACATTGCCATTGTTGTTTTGTGAACATCGGTATTAACACCGAAGTAATCGGAGATAAACTCGTTAAGGAGTGAAAGAAATGTTGATATAATTTACGCTGTTCGTTTTTTTAATTTTTAACTTAACATTTTTCACCTGTAGGATGGAAGGTCATTTTTACACAGAAGACGGTAGACGAATGGACAAAAATCTCGGCGATAAGCTCTGGAAACAATTCTTGAAGTTAGAAGAAGAAACTGGCATTTATTTCGATCGAAACATCCAGACAAGCTCTAGCGTAGGCGATTTTTTCAGAGAACGACTAGAAGCCGAAATCGACAAATATCCCTTGGAGGATAGAGGAGAACTTCAGCTTATGGCCAACACCATGTTAAATTACCTGGGTTTTCATACTGGGGACAACCTGAGTCTAATGTCGCTACAGTATGACGGAGCTTATGAAGAAATACCTGGTGGGGATGTTAAAATACCGAAAGGATTCTTAGAGGTAGTAAAAACCTTGACAAATGATTTTGAAACAGATACAATCAAACTAGGAACATTGGTGACGAATATAGATTGGGACCAATCAAAACATGGACCCAGTCTTATTAAAGTTTCATGTAAGTTGATTGGTGGAGAGAACAAATTTTACACATGTGATCATTTAATAGTCACGTGTTCTCTTGGCGTGCTGAAGAAAGCAGTTGAAGAGAAATCTTTCTTCAGACCACAGCTTCCGGCAGGTAAATGTGAATCCATTAGAAAAATGGGATTTGGAAGAGTCAACAAAGTTTTCCTCTACTACGAAAATCCATTTTGGAAACCGGGATCAGCTAGTATTAAACTAGCTTGGTCCGGTAAATATGCTGATGTCGACGAGAAGTCGGAGTGGTACAAACGGATTTTCAGTTTTGACGAAGTACTGGATAACCCGACAGTTCTGGTTGCTTGGATCAGTAGCAGCGCTGCACTTCACATGGAACAACTACAGGATGCGGAAGTCAGTAAAACGTGTACAGATGTCTTGCGTCAATTTCTGAAAAACCCGGACGTTCCCGAACCCACCAGTATATTGAGGAGTTCTTGGTGCTGCGATCCCCTCACCCTCGGGTCCTACTCTTATATTAACATGGAGTCCACTCCCGCCGATATCACTACGCTATCGGAACCACTGTACAATGACGACGAGAAACCAATCGTTTTGTTCGCAGGAGAAGCTACACATTCACGGTGGTATTCTACAACACATGGAGCATTCGATTCCGGAAAGAGAGAAGCTGAACGCCTTGTAGAATATATAACTAACCATGCAATCAAAATTTGAACAGTGCTATGTCATATGGTTTTGTATATGAAAATCATGTCAACGATCGGGATCTTTAATCACTGTGTATGATTCTATAATGGTAATTATGGGAATATAACCAGCCCTGAGTGCTTGAATTTCACATCCTCATCAATTTTACTTATAAAACGGCATCCTTCTTCTTTGATGTGCAACGTATAACAACGTATTCACAATGTTATTAATACTATGTTAGTACAGTTCTGAATCGAAGAAAAGAATGTTTCCATACTTTACCAGACTGAAGATCTTCCAGTCGAATTGAATCACTTTGCTCAATCAGAAAGTGAGAAAATAAAAAAAAACCGTACGCAAACATGTTTCAACATAACGAAATGATATCTAGAACGAAAATTGGGCGCGCTATGTCTTAATTTACCCGTTGTAAAGCTCCACGCGGGTGTTATTTGCATGAATATCTAGCGAATGTGCTTTCGCTAGAGTTAGCGAGCGAATATGCTCATAAACGATTGTTATCCGAAGTTCTACGGTTTTTTTTTTTGTTTTTTGTTTTGCGTAACAACAACATCAAATGTAAGATGATATGGCGATGCTTTAATGTGCAGAAATCGATTCTGAATTTCGAAGATTTCAATTGCCATTGCTAATATTGCATGGACCTTATCCAAAAACAGCCATCTTGGGAAACAAACAATTTGTCTGTAATCGCGACTAATTTTGACATATACTGCACGTGTCCACGGTAATAAAAAACATTTACTTTAACACGTACGCGTTTCAAAGCAGCAGACGAATTCATTGTTTTTCTTCGCTCCTTCAAGCTACTAGAGGTTGACAACGCCCACTTCTGATTACGTTTTGTTGGGGCTTTCCTTCTCGTCTATCTGTGAGTAGTGAAGTCCTGATATATCGTGGATCAAGCGATGCGTATGTAGGTGGTAATTTCATAGGAAAAAATATATGAAAGTCATATAAGAGGACTACTTTCACACACTTTCACTTGTTCAATAGAGCAACATGACGGACAATCTTATTCCTTAACGCTCGCCTTTCATTACGATATCGCATAATCGAAACACTGTTGTACACAGGGATTTGGCACAAATTCTCGACCCATGATCCATAAACATGGACTGTATTGGTCTTGATAAATCCCTGTGCTGCTGAAAATGTTTGTCGCGTTCATTTGATATAAGGGAGATAACTGGGCATGTCATGACTTTCACTATACACGGCCGAAGACGTAGGTCTCTATTAAGAGTTATCGCTCCTTCGTAAAAACATATATACAATGTATATATAACACGCGGTGATAATGTTGGGCTTTAAGCCCACTATCTGAGGGGTATTCAAATCGCACTGCTTCCGTGATCCGTCCTTAAACATTTATTGTTATCGCTATTTCTTGACGAGTGTTGGGGGATTTTCCTCAAATTTCATATGAAGGTTCCTAAGGTCCATAGAGCCGCTTTTGATTTTGTAACTGATCAGATGGTCATCTTGGATTTTAAAGTCGAAAGTTTCTTGTCTGTGTTTCTTTAGACGTTCAATGCACTGAATGGACCTTTCTCAAATTTTTAATATAAATGTATCCCTTTGCCCCTTGTGTTCTTTCGATTTTGGGATTGATCAAGAAAGCAAAATGGCGAACAAGCGACCATCTTGAATTTTGACAATAAAAAAGACTTCAATTTCTTGAGCAGTTTTTCAAAATTCATATGTAAATTATCCATGATTCATAGTTTTGACTGTTTTAAATGATTAAGAAAACAAAACTGCTGACAGACGGCCACATTGGATCTGGACAATGGACTGGATGTATTTTTCTGAGGCGAAATGTGAACGAGGAAGACATCGGGTGATATTGATTTAAACATAAATTTTATTGGAAAGATATACAAAGTAAGATAGGCATTTAATCACATACAGATTAGTTTGGAATAAGAATAATTTAGTGTCGAGTTAGACGTACACAAGACTCTTTCTTGCCAGGAAACTTATCAAGATAAAGATTTATTCGCTAATAAAAATAAACAAATTCCCTGTTAGAGAAACCTCAGAAAAATGGACAGACAACTCCATGATAAAGATGTCTTTATCAGAAATTCTTTGTTACAATGCATATTTCAAATAAACACCATGTTACAAGGGAAAATACTTGTAATGAAGTTTGCTAATTTTAAGATGAGTGCGTTAGGCTTATAGCTGTTGCATGTATACTAATGAGGAAGACTGTTACGAGGAACACTCGTTATATATATAGAACACTTTTAAACGCATATGTACGCTTAAACATCATTCATACGTATGTGCAAACATTAAACATGTACATGACCTTGATGAAAACTTAAGTGTTGACAATGAAATAAATACGATGTTATTCATATGACAATACAAATACAGGTACGAATTGAGAGGTTTCAAATGTAACTACTGAATTTTCACGAGAGTTAATATTCATTACTCCACGAGGTGGATTAAGATGTTCCCCTAACATTGATTTAATCGATGGTCGTTTTATAAAATGGCATTTACTAAATTACTTATCCAAACATTCGCTTGAAAATACAAGCACACCTGTAATTTTCAACAAGTACGGCAAAAAACAAATGATTCTTGTTTTTTTTAAGCTCTATTCCGGTTTCTTTACGTCTCCACAACATAAATATAGATATTTAGATATTTCAGTTTAGTTACATCTCCGATATACGGCACGAGTCTTTGACACGCAATATGACTTAATTTTTTTCTTTAAAAAATGATTATAAATATTGTGTAAGTATATCTTAATATTTAATGGATAATGAACTATGATAATAGCTGATAAATACAAAATGTATATATATATATAGGTATACTAACTTAATAACCAAACAGATTAATTGATATATTGACAAGAGACAAAAAGTCAAGTTAATGTTGGTTCAAACGACAGGTTCCACCCAAGCTTTTACAATATCGATTTGAAGTTAATCACACAAATGTCCCATTTTCTCCATTTCGGTGTCGGATGATGTAATTTGAAATAATTTTTGAAAAATCTTACTTGTCAGTCCAATCATGTGGAACCAATTTAAGCTCGTTTGTCAAGTGAGACTGAAAATATGCATTTCTACTCAAATACGTGAAAACATTTTGAAACAATGAACTTTGATCAGTCGCAACATTTGTTCATATGCTGGTACTATTTTTCATTCTTTCGTTTTAGAAGAGGCCATCATAGCTAAGCCAGCTAAACGTTGAACGTGGCGTGGTTCGGCGATCCTTACTCCAGGACTGTTACCGTTTCACGGAAATCTAAGCTTTGTGTTTGAGCGGACACTTTACCAAAATTGTTTTGGAGGGTATTTTCCGACCTTCTGTAATTTGTTTAGTGAGGTAGCCACATGCTACTATGTGATGACACCACCTCAAAATGAACCTGGCAGTTGACGGGACAATAAATCTAGTAAACAAACAAACAAAACAAACAAGCAAATGCACTCTCCCCTTTCTTCTCCTTATCTCAGTTGCATTCCGATTAAGTGCAGTAGTTTGATACTAATTTGTCAATTTTTTTTCAGATCATTATCACTCGGAGAGTAACATGTTTGTAATGCTAGTCTGATCATCATTAAAGCAACATCACCGTAAAATTGTTTTACTGATATATTTTCATCATGTAGATGTTGTGTTTATATCAACTGTATAACCTTATGAACAATGTCAGCTGGTTTTCGCTGAAATATGCTCACAAAGAGGTAATTCATAAATTCAGTTATGTAAATTTTTTGCGTCATATATGATAACGCATGCGCACCGTCGCATGTATAAAATATAGCTTCCTGCCTTTATTCGGTCGCGCCATTAACGTCATTTAATTCGTAATTCTGCATTGACTTAGAGCTATCAAATAACATTAACCATACCTGTAACAAAACCCGATGATGAAAAACTCCATTTTACTTTCTGTGTCACTACTGTCACTGACATTTCAGTCCGCCATTAGGTGTTCGTGTTTGCCTTATTTTCAAAATTATTACGTAACATCAGCGGCTCACTTTGAGAGGGGTTTCCTGAACCAAAGAAGTCGTCAATTTGGACATAAGAAATCGACTGTGAATATCGGGATAGCATAGAAACGTTTATCACATACGATATGTACAATCAATAGGAAAATAAATGCTTTTATCGTGATGTCCGTTTAAAGTCGAAGACGGAACGCTGTTGATATGGTCATTTAGGTACCAAAACTGAAACCTTGTTTCAATAATCCGAACACGACGAAAGTGACCATCTCTCAACATTAATCCGGATAATCGTTCTGAATGCTTTACTGAGACGTCAGTCTACGGTAGATATAAAACAGGCTACCTATGGAAGTCCTTTATAGGAATTATCGTCTTTTACTCTCCTTATTCAAAGATGGTCATTAATCTTGTATTCCGAATTTTCATTTTCTAGATGTTTCTGAACATGAACCAATTGGCACTTTACATAACAGTTTAGCCTATCTGGAAAAGAGGCGAGTCCTCATAAACAATGTAACATGCATTCCGCAGTAACATTTCACATCCAACACCCAAATCCTCCTCCTTCCTGCGAACTCGACAAACTTTGATTGTTATTAACACGATCTCTGTTCGCTTGTAGTAGCACTGTCTTGCTGAGGCAGATAAAGAGACAAAGTGTGTTCTGTCATATTTCTGAAGAATGACTCCTTAGAATGATGTCACTACAAAATAAAGCACAAATCAAAATAATCATAGTTTACCATCAGTATGAAGTCTGCATTAATAATGCATTAAGAAATTAATTTGAAACTGTATTACGATTTGAGCAAGTCGAGATCACCCTCCTTTGAAAACATAGTAACAAGCATGTTTCTTTTACCATGAAAATGATAATGAATAGGAAATTGTTACCTTTTTCGTCTGTTCCTGTCATACGGTCCAAAGTTGCGATAGATCCAGCGCGATGGCTGTCCATAGTCATTTCACTTCCGGGAACCAAAAGTACTTCTGAATGCGTACGTGACAAATTGGAATTAGACACCCGCGCTGCTGTTGAGTATGCCCCGTGGCTATTTCTAGCACTAGATGGCAGTGTGGTATTCAAGGTAGCACCGGACACCCGTTGAGTTGAACCAGAATGACGATTTGAGGAAAGTCTATTTGTTGAACCGGAAGTCCGTTTGGATGCCATTTGATGATCATATCCGGTTTGTTGGTCGCTGTCGTCGTTGGCTTCTGAGATAATCACAGCAGGATCTGATTGTGATCCATTCGACATTCTTTGCGTGAAATAGAATTCTCTCTCCTATAAACACAAAACGAAGTCCAGTATGCATTCGTTTAGACATCATTTCTCGTGTTTTCTTTTTTTTTTAATTATTGTAAGAGTTTTTTCCCTTTGTTCAATTACATGTAGAAGGCTTTTATACCCAAGAGAGATGGCAAACAAGTGAGGGATTTAGTCCGGAAAAAAATAATAGAAAATAGAAACAGAAAATCATACATACCACTTGATCTTCTGGATGGCTGTGATCACTGGCAAAATAACATAGAAGGATCCGTTACTATCTAGGTCAGAAACAAGGACTCGTCAGTAACTAGGTCAGCGAAAAAGACATGTCAATATCTATGCTAAAAAATCAGTATCTAGGTCAGAGGATATGATACCTCAGTGTATAGGTCAGAGGGAAGGATACGGCAGTGCCTAAGTAGGAGGTATGGATAAATCAGTATCTAGGTCAGAGGTAAAAGTATACGCGAATATCTGGGTCAGTCAAAATGTTACAACAGTATCTACATCAGTGACAACGTTACAACAGTATCTAGGTCAGAGATAACGATACAATAGTATCTACGTCAGTCACAACGTTACAACAGTATCTAGGTCAGAGATAACGATACAACAGTATCTAGGTCAGTTACAGCGTTACTACAGTATCTAGGTCAAAGACAGTGATACGAAATCACTCTTTGTCTCCACTGGAACATGTCATGGCAAGTGAAGTGCGATACCTTGTGGACAAGACGGAAAGACTAGTTCGATCCTTTAGTGTACATCAATCGAATCTCGGGGTCCGATAATGGTATACTGTAATGACTTTGAAGTTGGTTGACGCCCCTTTATAATCTTCAAAGGGGGCGTGCCAACGTGTGATTGTTTTTTTTTTCTGCTGGAACCAATCAAATTACTTTGCTTGTGCTTCAATTTTCCCATGACATGTTCCAGGGGTAGAGAGCGAAAGTGATCGTAACCCCTGGGGTATTGAGGATGGTTCATAGACAAGGTTATGTTAATGGCGAGGTTGGAGACATGGATACGTAAGTACAGTATCCAGATCAGAGAAATAGAACTGTCTCTATCTAAGACGGTTACAATGGACATTAATGTATGTAACAGTTTCATTGTTATAAGTTGGACCAATTCAAGTTTAGATATACCGAAATATTTTCGGTTAAAGGTGATAAAATGGAAAGATGACAAAGGACACTGCACAGATTTTCAATTGATTAAACTTGTAAGCAATGAGATGCGCTTGAGACGTTTGATGACCAAACTCACCTAGGTATTTGTATTGGTTCTGCTTCTGTATAAAGAAACAACAAACATGTAATCATTTTACAAGCAGCTTTATCCCGGACTTGTGTATATATGTACGTCTAAGTCCGTGATTTTTGTCTTTTTTCAATTCTTTTTCAGATTTTGAATGTCTATCGTAAAACAGGTTGTTCCTTTTCAACTACATATTTAAGTAGAACAGCGTATTAGCAGGAATTACCTCTGATATTATCTCCCCTTGTCTACGCAACGCAAAGTTTATTTTTTTAAAAAGTGTATTGCAAAGTCCACAAGAAAAATTATAAACAACAGTGCTTAGGTTAATTTGTAATGAAAAATAATCAGTCCTGTAGTTACCTTATTACCGATTTGCAGTTGTTTGTTTTTTGTCCTAAGAACTTGCCAAATTTATTTTCATAAATAACTTTTTTTAAATCCTTGCACCTTATGCGTCTTTGCACTACCACAAGACAAAACAACTTTTCATCAGAAAAAAGAATGAATGTGCAATTTGAGCAACCAAAACCATCCCGATACTCATTTATGCTATTTTCCATAATGTATTTTCTTGATGGAACCCTTACCTCTCCACGAAGGTGTAATTCCGGCCCAAATGGGCACACCGGTCATTTCAATGGTGTGGTCAGCGGAGATCGAACTGTCCGGAGTGTGAACTCTGAAGCGGTTGTACCTGTGTCGAGGAATCTTTACCTTGCCCTTCGCTATCTCAATGTCTTCCCTAATTAAATGAAAATTCAATATTGCAAAAGGTGACAAAAATGAATAAATTGATAAAAAAGGAATATACTTAAATCTCAAAGGATATTATATCATTCACATACGCGGCTATCAGTGTATATTGATTCCAAATTGCCATTCAGTTACAGCACTAATTCATAATATAAAACATCTGTCTCAACGTTTTAGATGTTCTCACGTTTTTATTTCAAATTTAGAAATGCTGCCATAAAAGATACATTCCCCAATTTTTTCTATTGGTTTAAATACTGTGAAATTAAATTCTGATTGAGATAATTTGTAAAAAAAATCCTTATTGTTATTATTCACATCACACAAATTTCGACATGACATTTATCAGACATTTTAGAGTGTAGCAAAAGGATGGACAGTGGACCGATTGAAATCTTATTACATATCAAAACCTATGACGTTTCCATCCAGTCCAACATATATAGTGTCTAATACATTAGACATAATCCCTATAGTTCTGTTTTACGTTCGTGTCCCCTCGCAACGACACCAATGAGTTCCTTATCATTTTGCTTGTGCGCTTGTGTCCCCTCGCAACGACACCAATGAGTTTCTTATCATTTTGTTTGTACGCTTGTGTCCCCTCGCAACGACACCAATGAGTTCCTCATCGCTCTGTTTTACGTTCGTGTCCCCTCGCAACGACACCAATGAGTTTCTTATCATTTTGTTTGTACGCTTGTATCCCCTCGCAACGACACCAATGAGTTTCTTATCATTTTGTTTGTACGCTTGTGTCCCTTCGCAGCAACACCAATGTGTTCCTTATCATTCTGTTTGTACGTTCGTGTCCCCTCGCAGCGACACCAATAAGTTCCTTATCGTTCTGTTTGTACGCTTGTGTCCCCTCGCAACGACACCAATGAGTTCCTCATCGTTCTGTTTTACGTTCGTGTCCCCTCGCAACGACACCAATGAGTTTCTTATCATTTTGTTTGTACGCTTGTGTCCCCTCGCAACGACACCAATGAGTTTCTTATCATTTTGTTTGTACGCTTGTGTCCCTTCGCAGCAACACCAATGTGTTCCTTATCATTCTGTTTGTACGTTCGTGTCCCCTCGCAGCGACACCAATAAGTTCCTTATCGTTCTGTTTGTACGCTTGTGTCCCCTCGCAACGACACCAATGAGTTCTTTATCATTCTGTAAATACGTTCGTGTTCCCTCGCAACGACACCAATGAGTTTCTTATCATTTTGTTTGTACGCTTTTGTCCCTTCGCAGCAACACCAATGTGTTCCTTATCATTCTGTTTGTACGTTCGTGTCCCCTCGCAGCGACACCAATGTGTTCCTTATCATTCTGTTTGTACGTTCGTGTCCCCTCGCAACGACACCAATGTGTTCCTTATCATTCTGTTTGTACGCTTGTGTCCCCTCGCAACGACACCAATGAGTTCTTTATCATTCTGTAAATACGTTCGTGTTCCCTCGCAACGACACCAATGAGTTTCTTATCATTTTGTTTGTACGCTTGTGTCCCCTCGCAACGACACCAATGTGTTCCGTATCATTTTGTTTGTACGCTTGTGTCCCCTCGCAACGACACCAATGAGTTCCTCATCGTTCTGTTTTACGTTCGTGTCCCCTCGCAACGACACCAATGAGTTTCTTATCATTTTGTTTGTACGCTTGTGTCCCCTCGCAACGACACCAATGAGTTTCTTATCATTTTGTTTGTACGCTTGTGTCCCTTCGCAGCAACACCAATGTGTTCCTTATCATTCTGTTTGTACGTTCGTGTCCCCTCGCAGCGACACCAATAAGTTCCTTATCGTTCTGTTTGTACGCTTGTGTCCCCTCGCAACGACACCAATGAGTTCCTCATCGTTCTGTTTTACGTTCGTGTCCCCTCGCAACGACACCAATGAGTTTCTTATCATTTTGTTTGTACGCTTGTGTCCCCTCGCAACGACACCAATGAGTTTCTTATCATTTTGTTTGTACGCTTGTGTCCCTTCGCAGCAACACCAATGTGTTCCTTATCATTCTGTTTGTACGTTCGTGTCCCCTCGCAACGACACCAATGTGTTCCTTATCATTCTGTTTGTACGCTTGTGTCCCCTCGCAACGACACCAATGAGTTCTTTATCATTCTGTAAATACGTTCGTGTTCCCTCGCAACGACACCAATGAGTTTCTTATCATTTTGTTTGTACGCTTGTGTCCCCTCGCAACGACACCAATGAGTTCCTTATCATTTTGTTTGTACGCTTGTGTCCCCTCGCAACGACACCAATGAGTTCCTCATCGTTCTGTTTTACGTTCGTGTCCCCTCGCAACGACACCAATGAGTTTCTTATCATTTTGTTTGTACGCTTGTGTCCCCTCGCAACGACACCAATGAGTTTCTTATCATTTTGTTTGTACGCTTGTGTCCCTTCGCAGCGACACCAATGTGTTCCTTATCATTCTGTTTGTACGTTCGTGTCCACTCGCAACGACACCAATGTGTTCCTTATCATTCTGTTTGTACGCTTGTGTCACCTCGCAACGACACCAATGAGTTCTTTATCATTCTGTAAATACGTTCGTGTTCCCTCGCAACGACACCAATGAGTTTCTTATCATTTTGTTTGTACGCTTGTGTCCCCTCGCAACGACACCAATGAGTTCCTTATCATTTTGTTTGTACGCTTGTGTCCCCTCGCAACGACACCAATGAGTTCCTTATCATTTTGTTTGTACGCCTGTGTCCCCTCGCAACGACACCAATGTGTTCCTTATCATTTTGTTTGTACGCTTGTGTCCCCTCGCAACGACACCAATGTGTTCCTTATCATTTTGTTTGTACGCTTGTGTCCCCTCGCAACGACACCAATGAGTTTCTTATCATTTTGTTTGTACGCTTGTGTCCCTTCGCAGCAACACCAATGTGTTCCTTATCATTCTGTTTGTACGTTCGTGTCCCCTCGCAACGACACCAATGTGTTCCTTATCATTCTGTTTGTACGCTTGTGTCCCCTCGCAACGACACCAATGAGTTCTTTATCATTCTGTAAATACGTTCGTGTTCCCTCGCAACGACACCAATGAGTTTCTTATCATTTTGTTTGTACGCTTGTGTCCCCTCGCAACGACACCAATGAGTTCCTTATCATTTTGTTTGTACGCTTGTGTCCCCTCGCAACGACACCAATGAGTTCCTTATCATTTTGTTTGTACGCCTGTGTCCCCTCGCAACGACACCAATGAGTTCTTTATCATTCTGTAAATACGTTCGTGTTCCCTCGCAACGACACCAATGAGTTTCTTATCATTTTGTTTGTACGCTTTTGTCCCTTCGCAGCAACACCAATGTGTTCCTTATCATTCTGTTTGTACGTTCGTGTCCCCTCGCAGCGACACCAATGTGTTCCTTATCATTCTGTTTGTACGTTCGTGTCCCCTCGCAACGACACCAATGTGTTCCTTATCATTCTGTTTGTACGCTTGTGTCCCCTCGCAACGACACCAATGAGTTCTTTATCATTCTGTAAATACGTTCGTGTTCCCTCGCAACGACACCAATGAGTTTCTTATCATTTTGTTTGTACGCTTGTGTCCCCTCGCAACGACACCAATGAGTTCCTTATCATTTTGTTTGTACGCTTGTGTCCCCTCGCAACGACACCAATGAGTTCCTCATCGTTCTGTTTTACGTTCGTGTCCCCTCGCAACGACACCAATGAGTTTCTTATCATTTTGTTTGTACGCTTGTGTCCCCTCGCAACGACACCAATGAGTTTCTTATCATTTTGTTTGTACGCTTGTGTCCCTTCGCAGCAACACCAATGTGTTCCTTATCATTCTGTTTGTACGTTCGTGTCCCCTCGCAGCGACACCAATAAGTTCCTTATCGTTCTGTTTGTACGCTTGTGTCCCCTCGCAACGACACCAATGAGTTCCTCATCGTTCTGTTTTACGTTCGTGTCCCCTCGCAACGACACCAATGAGTTTCTTATCATTTTGTTTGTACGCTTGTGTCCCCTCGCAACGACACCAATGAGTTTCTTATCATTTTGTTTGTACGCTTGTGTCCCTTCGCAGCAACACCAATGTGTTCCTTATCATTCTGTTTGTACGTTCGTGTCCCCTCGCAACGACACCAATGTGTTCCTTATCATTCTGTTTGTACGCTTGTGTCCCCTCGCAACGACACCAATGAGTTCTTTATCATTCTGTAAATACGTTCGTGTTCCCTCGCAACGACACCAATGAGTTTCTTATCATTTTGTTTGTACGCTTGTGTCCCCTCGCAACGACACCAATGAGTTCCTTATCATTTTGTTTGTACGCTTGTGTCCCCTCGCAACGACACCAATGAGTTCCTCATCGTTCTGTTTTACGTTCGTGTCCCCTCGCAACGACACCAATGAGTTTCTTATCATTTTGTTTGTACGCTTGTGTCCCCTCGCAACGACACCAATGAGTTTCTTATCATTTTGTTTGTACGCTTGTGTCCCTTCGCAGCGACACCAATGTGTTCCTTATCATTCTGTTTGTACGTTCGTGTCCCCTCGCAACGACACCAATGTGTTCCTTATCATTCTGTTTGTACGTTTGTGTCCCCTCGCAACGACACCAATGAGTTTCTTATCATTTTGTTTGTACGCTTGTGTCCCCTCGCAACGACACCAATGAGTTCCTTATCATTTTGTTTGTACGCTTGTGTCCCCTCGCAACGACACCAATGAGTTCCTTATCATTTTGTTTGTACGTTTGTGTCCCCTCGCAACGACACCAATGTGTTCCTTATCATTTTGTTTGTACGCTTGTGTCCCCTCGCAACGACACCAATGAGTTTCTTATCATTTTGTTTGTACGCTTGTGTCCCTTCGCAGCAACACCAATGTGTTCCTTATCATTCTGTTTGTACGTTCGTGTCCCCTCGCAGCGACACCAATAAGTTCCTTATCGTTCTGTTTGTACGCTTGTGTCCCCTCGCAACGACACCAATGAGTACTTTATCATTCTGTAAATACGTTCGTGTTCCCTCGCAACGACACCAATGAGTTTCTTATCATTTTGTTTGTACGCTTTTGTCCCTTCGCAGCAACACCAATGTGTTCCTTATCATTCTGTTTGTACGTTCGTGTCCCCTCGCAGCGACACCAATGTGTTCCTTATCATTCTGTTTGTACGTTCGTGTCCCCTCGCAACGACACCAATGAGTTCTTTATCATTCTGTAAATACGTTCGTGTTCCCTCGCAACGACACCAATGAGTTTCTTATCATTTTGTTTGTACGCTTGTGTCCCTTCGCAGCAACACCAATGTGTTCCTTATCATTCTGTAAATACGTTCGTGTCCCCTCGCAGCGACACCAATGTGTTCCTTATCATTCTGTTTGTACGTTCGTGTCCCCTCGCAACGACACCAATGAGTTCTTTATCATTCTGTAAATACGTTCGTGTTCCCTCGCAACGACACCAATGAGTTCCTTATCATTTTGTTTGTACGCTTGTGACTCCTCGCAACGACACCAATGAGTTCCTTATCATTTTGTTTGTACGCCTGTGTCCCCTCGTAACGACACCAATGAGTTCCTCATCGTTCTGTATGTACGTTCGTGTCCCCTCGCAAGGACACCAATGAGTCCTTATCATTATGTTAGTACGTTCGTGTCCCATTGCGACGACGTCAAGAATTCCCTAGTGTTGTGTTTAACATTCTTGTTCCCTCGAGACGACGTCAAGGAGTTCCTTATCGTTCTATTTGTACATTCTTGTTCCCTCGAGACGACGACAAGGAGTTCCTTATCGTTCTATTTGTACATTCTTATTTCCGCGCAGCGACACCAATGAGTCACTTATCGTTCTGTTTGTACGTTCGTGTCCCCTCGCAACGACACCAATGAGTTCTTTATCATTCTGTAAATACGTTCGTGTTCCCTCGCAACGACACCAATGAGTTCCTTATCATTTTGTTTGTACGCTTGTGACTCCTCGCAACGACACCAATGAGTTCCTTATCATTTTGTTTGTACGCCTGTGTCCCCTCGCAACGACACCAATGTGTTCCTTATCATTCTGTTTGTACGCTTGTGTCCCCTCGCAACGACACCAATGAGTTCTTTATCATTCTGTAAATACGTTCGTGTTCCCTCGCAACGACACCAATGAGTTTCTTATCATTTGTTTGTACGCTTGTGTCCCTTCGCAGCAACACCAATGTGTTCCTTATCATTCTGTAAATACGTTCGTGTCCCCTCGCAGCGACACCAATGTGTTCCTTATCATTCTGTTTGTACGTTCGTGTCCCCTCGCAACGACACCAATGAGTTCTTTATCATTCTGTAAATACGTTCGTGTTCCCTCGCAACGACACCAATGAGTTCCTTATCATTTTGTTTGTACGGTTGTGACTCCTCGCAACGACACCAATGAGTTCCTTATCATTTTGTTTGTACGCCTGTGTCCCCTCGTAACGACACCAATGAGTTCCTCATCGTTCTGTATGTACGTTCGTGTCCCCTCGCAAGGACACCAATGAGTCCTTATCATTATGTTAGTACGTTCGTGTCCCATTGCGACGACGTCAAGAATTCCCTAGTGTTGTGTTTAACATTCTTGTTCCCTCGAGACGACGTCAAGGAGTTCCTTATCGTTCTATTTGTACATTCTTGTTCCCTCGAGACGACGACAAGGAGTTCCTTATCGTTCTATTTGTACGTTCTTATTTCCGCGCAGCGACACCAATGAGTCACTTATCGTTCTGTTTGTACGTTCGTGTCCCCTCGCAACGACACCAATGAGTTCTTTATCATTCTGTAAATACGTTCGTGTTCCCTCGCAACGACACCAATGAGTTCCTTATCATTTTGTTTGTACGCTTGTGACTCCTCGCAACGACACCAATGAGTTCCTTATCATTTTGTTTGTACGCCTGTGTCCCCTCGCAACGACACCAATGAGTTCCTCATCGTTCTGTATGTACGTTCGTGTCCCCTCGCAACGACACCAATGAGTCCTTATCATTATGTTAGTACGTTCGTGTCCCATTGCGACGACGTCAAGAATTCCCTAGTGTTGTGTTTAACATTCTTGTTCCCTCGAGACGACGTCAAGGAGTTCCTTATCGTTCTATTTGTACATTCTTGTTCCCTCGAGACGACGACAAGGAGTTCCTTATCGTTCTATTTGTACATTCTTATTTCCGCGCAGCGACACCAATGAGTCACTTATCGTTCTGTTTGTATATTCGTGTCCCTTTGTGACGACGTCAAGAGTTCCTTAGCATTCTGTTCCTACATTCCTGGATTCGACATTTTTTTATCTAACGTTAGTCAATATGAAACCGCTTGGCGATTCGTATTATTTAAGATCAGGCCGTGTTTAATCATTTCAAAGATAAATGAAATTATCGACGTTTTCGAATGTCTTAACTTTGTCTTCATCATGAAGCTATAAAAACGAGAAAAGAACTTTGAAACGTTCCATACAATTTACATATAGATTCCAGTCAAATAAAAATACAGAACATTATTTCTATAGTTTTCTCCGCTTGTGTAAAACCAAACATTCTGTCTCAATCAGACGACACAACCCTTATTAAACATTGTTTACCACTTACGTTCAGCAATAAATCAACCATAAACGAATTAATTTATAGGAATCAATCCATGTCAAAGAGATTTATCGATGTATATGTATGTAGATGTCACAAGATGATAAATTGCATTTAATTACATACAATTATTCTTCAATCAACTATATTGATATAAAGCACGGTTCATATTTGCATATCAAATTTAAGCCAAAGAGAAGAATTAAAAAGATCCGTCTGTTTTGATTCATACTTTGGTTATGTTAATTATAAGAATATGGCCCCTAATAAAACGAAAACACATCTTACATGTCGATATAAGATATGGGTTACATATTTAAAACAATAGTAATTTTTATCAAGTATTGTAAAACCGTCTGCGGTGAAATATGAAGCACGGCGTCAATACTTACCAAATGGTGACCATTATTGCCATGACAACAATGAGGATGAAGAAAACACCAGCCACAACAGAGGAAGCGATTATCCCCAAAAGTGCCTTGTCATAGCACCATACCCCTGTATCAAAAGAACACGGTATTGATTACGTCAGAGAATATGGTCTACATGATAAGATATCGAAGGCTAACCAACACGTTGTTCAATAAACTGAAACCCAGTAACATAATACTAACATCTGGCTTCAGCAGATTGCTGTAAACCACCCAAGCATTGTTTGTTTACTATTTTGTTTACAGTTCGGTGCTCTTTTATTCGTCCTGCCGAGAAAATTATACTTATGCGACTACGCCATCCATGATTTAAAATGTTAGCTTCGCAATATCCATATTTTAGTTCTCTTCGATATCCAAGAAGCATTGTGCTTTGCTTAATCAACCGTGTTCAAAACGAAAGTAACCTGTACTTGCATTCATTTCATTCGCCTCGACATGAAGTTGAAGAAAGTGTGTCCGTTGCCCGAATCAACGTCGTACATACTAGCGACAGAATTAGTACCACTCCGATTCCCGACGTCACATTTGTAGTCTATATCATATGAATTTATCACGTTTTCACCCTCACGCCAAATTCTTGTTCTCGTCTAGTGGTCAATTCACACATGTATTTCAGCTTAAACTTCAAAATTTAACCCATACTTTTATATTCATTTTCGGCCTTTTTAACAGAGGCGTTTGACGGGTCAAAGTTCAACTGCGGGGAAAGTTTCCCTTAGTATACCGGGATTTCTGGAAGTCAGATATTTATGTCATACGATGAAAACAAACATCGTTTATCCCTAAATGTTCATGAAGGGAGCAATACCCTCAAAGGAATGGACACATTATATGAGATATGGGAAAGGTTTGCTATATAAACGATATTACGATGGGAGGATCAGCCTTAGTGACCATAAATCACTGTTCTTCAATCAATACACAGATGTAATAGCGCCTGGTTGTGTTGGGTTATAGAGAGTGATGGACATTGATGACCGCGCACGTCAATCACTGCGGACATGGTGGGACATGGTGGTGGACATGGTGGTGTGGATATGGTATGTTGGTAAATACCTAACTATGCTTTGTTTTAAGTGTGTATATATAACATATTGATGATGAATCACTTAACATTTTCTTATATCTTTGTTTTAAACATCATATCATTAATCACAAAAATAATATGATAAATAATTACATATCTCATTCTGACACATGATATTCATTTCTCAAAAATGTTCTTTAAAAGCTTGTGAATGATAAGGTGACTTGTCGTACACTCAAAGAACGAGATTTAAAAAGATGTAACACTGAAAGAACACTTTTGATACCTTATAAATAAGCAAAACGGCGGAAACTTCAACTTAAAACCTTATTCCTAAAAAACAACTTAGGATGATACATAGGAGAAATTATATAAATGTTAAGATATCAGTACACACAATCAATATGATAACTATTGTTACAGTCTGACAAGTTGACAGTTCATTCGCAATATATTCATGATTAGTGTATACAAAAATTAATTTAGACAACGGATGACTGAAATTAATGTAACGCTGGTATATGTTGGGAGGTCGAATCGCCTTCGGAACTACAAAAGACGGTCTGGTTTCGGACTGAAATGATCCGACGGTCGGACCGACAGTGGCCGACATGACTTGATACAGTTTCGAGATGATTAAAAGTAATTTGGTGACGGTACGTGACTATTCAGCATGGAATATTAAGTTAAAGATCTTTGTGAATACATTCATCTGATCATCAAGTGTACTCCCACGGTCCGTGATACTATTTACAAAACGATCGAATTCCCAAGTTGCTACAAGTAATGTACTTGAATTTACAGACAATAAGTACGACAACATTATGTACACCTACATGTCTTTCGAAAGCGGAGACGATTTCTTTTATTCAAATTGAATTGGTGCCGTTGCTAGCTAGTTTCCGACTGATGAAATGCACATGTGTCACCATCGGTAAAATAATTGTATATCGTTGACAAACATTTTTTCCTGTTGAGGAAGTTCAGACAGACTGTAAAGGAAAACCAACACTATATATCGATCTAATTGCGGTACGGTACATTCGTGTGTTAGATTCATTCTTATAAACCTGATGTATTAGGCCGTCTGGAAGGAGCCGATAGTTATAAGTGACATTAGATTCCGTCTGGGAGTCTGACTATCAGTTATATCTTGCTCGGCATTTTCGCATTTCATCGAACACAGAAGCTGAAAAATGGATTATACTGATTCCAGGCCATTTATTTCACAGGAGCGTGTAAATCGTAGACGGATAACAGACGCTACATAGGGCACCGGATTACCGGAAACCGCACGTTCTTTCTCAAATGTATATTCTCGGGAATCGAGTTCATAGCTATGTATTGTAACACAAAATGACTGATTTTCACAACGTATTAAGTTTATCTTCTTGTTACAGAGATCATTATTTATTTCAATGCTGCCGCAAGGATTCGAACCCGGGACCTCTGGCTCAGTCTTACGCTCAACCGGGCGGTATATTGCTACTTTAGAAATTGAGTCCCATTTTGCCAGCCAAAACACGTGTGAAATTTCAACTTTCTCGCCCCCAGGTTGGCATTTTTCTGTTTCCATATAATTCCATGAAAACGTTTGTCTTTAAATTTCAATACAACGTTAAGCATAAAGGTATAGCCAACGAGACTGACAGAAATGTCATAAAGTAGGCCTGTTACTAATCCGATAAATCTTTTATAAAGATTTTGGCAATGTCATGACAAGTATATAACATGAAGGTAGTCAACACAAGGGTTCTGATAAAATCACATGTTTGTCTGGTTATTGTGTCTTGTCTTTAGTATTAAAAGCGCTGCCAATAAGCGGAACGATTTTCTATTACAGATTAATGAGATATGTTTTGTCTATACAAGATAAAACATCGTGCATCAGGACCACATTAATAACGAGGTTGATGTCAGGTCTCAGAGGCTGGTTTCACCATTAACTCAATCCCCAAACAATTCGGTGATGTCAATCATGACGTAGGTTCGAGACCGTTCTCGACAATGAGGAAGAAATCTTGAAGATTTTGTTTCTTCTTCTGACTTAAATAAAGAATTTATCAATGTATATCGGTTTACAAAAAATATCGCAAAGAGTTACGCCCGCTTCCTAAAAAGCTCTTTATATATATCCCAAAACCAGTTCCGACAGTCTCTGAAAAGGCTGGTGATAACGAAGAGTGTTATGTACTTTTAGTGTTGTTTAAACGTATCCGCTTTCCTTCAGGAGACCGACAGTTAATCGTGGTAAAGTTCCGGGAAATATCCGCGATTACAGTTTAAAAGTACACACCACTAGGTTAACGAGAAAAGTTAGTAATAAACTGTATGAGTCTAGTTGTTTCCTTCCTATAAGTAACAATCTCAATCCTGAAGTTTACGATCAGTCAGTTATGTCTTATATCTATGTTTACAGAATGGGAATCTTCGGATCCAATGATTTATAATAGTGACATAAAAATCATTATCTTCTTATTACAAATTGGTCGTCAAACTTATTGCTAGCCTAAAGCTAGGCCGTATATAGCTTAAAGTCGGACCAATCGATGCGAGCTATGGCAAATGGGGCTATTTACAGATAAAACTGAAGGAGTTCCGAACGAACGAGAAATGGAGAATTGCATTTCTCCGTCTTTAATTCTACAAGGGTTTATATATCTAAACTGTAGGCGTTGGTGTTACAGATGGATATGGACCGAGGTAGTAAGGTTATCCTTCCTCCAATCCCCCATTTATCATCATTACCGTCAGGGCGGGGTGACAGCCGGCTCCCCGGGGGAACGGATTTGTCACATTTTAATTAGTGCTATGTTGTTTTTTTTTTGGCTGATAGTCGCTCAACCATGAAATCAGAGTCTTACGATAAACTCTACTACAGGTGTGTTGGCCATTAACTATGATATATATAAACTTTTTGTTGTTGGTCTTTTCACATATGATAAATTTGAGACATAGTAAGTTCCTTAAATGTGCGTTGGTTTTACAGAGAAATACTAAATGGCTAGTTAGAACAGTAATATTATTTCGTTAAAAATATTTTCGCTATATCGTCATATCTCACAAGAACACATATAATGTATATTGACATAATTCGTTATAACGACAACTTGAACTTGTATCATTGTAACGGAAATTTACCGTTGTATGTCACTGTATATCGTTGCAGCAGTTGCAAGTAGATTCTAAAGATTGGGCTGCTTTCAGATGGCAGTTATGGTCATATAAAATCCAACAAAATGACATTGCTTTCATAACATTGGCATTCATATTGCACAGGAATGGAAGCTGTTCAATGCTTATACTTTATCGTTTTTGTAGTCAATGTTTAAACTTTCATATGCATGAGGGAAATAAATCTCCATTTGTTTTTATGTTTTAGGTCGTCTGCAGTTCATGAGCTGATAAATACACAACTGATATCAGTGTAGCGAGGCCAAAAATGACAATACATAGAATAACACTATAATATATAAAGTATCGTGGTATACTTAGGGCTGGTTTTACACGACTGTTCTGACAACTAGTTGCTGACAGCGATGGTCAACAGTCGAACGTTATGTACGAGATATGCAACGGCATTTTAATCGCCTGGGGATTCTTATCATTTGCTTTGTTATTGAAACCCATAACTGAATATGTTCCAAATCCGTAACTAAAATATTCAGAAACTGGAAAAATAAAGGCAGTTTCGTGATGTTAAACATATTTGTGATTCAGAAAAAAATCTTTTCATATTAACCCACCATACAATGGTTTTTAAACACTGCAATAATTTAAATCGACTTGAAAACCAAATATTTAATTTCTTCTTTTTCATTCTCCAACCATCACAAACCTGTCTGGCGTCTTCATCAACTACAGACTTTTTGATAAGTGTATATATTGGTTTGAATGCTTTTCCACTCCCCAGTCAACAGAGCTCATCTATAGAGCATGTGTTTATGGCACAAAACTGTTTACCAGTATTAAGGTTTAAATACACTGACGATCTTTGAGGGGTATTGCTTCCCGTGGGAGGAGGCACGTTAAAAAGCCTTTACAAACGTATGTTTTCTGAGTTCTATCGATCGGATGTCAAATTTGACAAGATAGAAAAGATGGTTTGAGTTTTGTGGATATGTAAAGTTTTGCAGTGTTTGCACTAAAGTGATTTCTTTTAGTTTACATACAGCCTTACATCATCGCTACTTTTACTGGTATGGTGAACATTCACACCAGATCAATCATTCCTGTTTATTCAGAATATTTTGGCAATTTTGCTCTCCGCCGTCGCAAATTTTAAATTGCCAAAGAGTTTTCATTGTCACCATTGGCGTTGATGTGACCGACAGCGCGAGCACCGGACATGTCGGATTTTCTTTGTTATATTCACTGTATAACCTCTGACATGCTGCAACACAGAAGACGACTTTCTGAAAAATTGCAAAAATTGTCTAATTGTCCTTCTTGTTCTATTCTACTCCCACTGAACTTTCATACCAAGCTTTAATTTGTCGTCTTATAGCTCCACTCATATAAAACACCTTTTTTAGACAATAAAACTCTCGGTAACCTTTCACTTTCTCATTATAGATTCCGTGTTCTCAAACAGCCCAAGTCATTTAAAATTCAGATGAATGCGCAGTGTTTAAGGTCAGCGTTTGAACCGACAGTGAAGTGCATGACAACACATAGAATACAATAAATTATGATAATTTTTATTATTTTCTGTTTACGTTGAAAACATTTCCCTGTATCGGTAAAGATGATCGACTGTACAGATTTAGTTAATACGCGTTTGTTTTCTTAGATTTATCGCCCCGTGAAAAGTCAGGGCCATTTTGAGGCAGTTTTTCCTTATAGGATAGCTTTCAGCTACCCCGCTGAATAAGAAACGAAATGCCCGTCGCATGCCATGCAGATAAATTTGGGTAAAGTATCATGCCCAAGGATACAATTACGCTGGTACATACCAGTCTGTTTCTCATATTCCTCAGCGCCACGCACGCACCTCGGATCTTCATCTGAGGTTACGAGGGACAACACTCGAACCGACTGAGATACGGCGAGTCTTGACGTGCGCCAATTTAAAAAAAAAATGTCATGATGATGTAAAAATTACAGATTTTATACACAATTCTCCTTCGTCAAGCGTCCTCGTAAAAACGCTAAACCTGGCCCAGTGTGTAGCGTATTATATATATACATAACAAGTTTTTGGGAACACTTACCGCACTTCAATAGTTATCCTATTTGAGAACACTTACCGCACTTTAATGGTTATCCTATTCGAGACAACTGGATGTTTACTCATAGAAAATGAAATTGGACGTATTTATTAAACCACAAGACAGGTCACGTGAGTACGTTTTCCGTTGACTTTAAGTAAAACACAGCCATGATTAAGTCACCACGGGGTTGACATTAATTCATTACACAATATTGTTTGTATTTACCTTGTGTATCTTTAAATCCATTACCAAGATGTTTATTTCAAGTTGAAATAAACGTTATTCAGAAAAGCATTTGATATAAATTGAAGAAAAAGTGTTTGTTTGTGTGTATGTGTGTGTGTGTGTGTGTGTGTGTGTGTGTGTGTAGGGGTGGGGGAGGGGGAAGGGGCAAGGGTCTTTGAAGTCTATAAAGTTATGACTTCCTAACAACAAATTGGTCACAGTTTCCAAATTAAGTATGTTGACATCGAGTTTTCCGTTATTTGAATGGAAACTCACGATCTTGTTTCAGTTGAAATCCTTCGTCTCCAAGGTAACGGTACTTCATTTAGAAATGATCAAGTATCATTTACAAGGACAGTCGCTATGAACTATGGTATCAAGACAACAGTAAATTCTACAGAAATATCTATAAAATATTACCACTTCATTATGAGCAGTCTTAAAAATCCTGAACAGCGTTGAATAGCTACACTAAGGAAGATGGTGATTCCAGACATTGATTTCCTTTTCAGGGCGCACTGTTGGATTATTTTATTGAGTATCGAGTTGTGAGTCGGAAAATGCGAGCTGTTGAGCTATGAATGACATCAATTCCTGGAGTGATGAAATATGGAGAAAAATATAACTTTCCTTTTTTAATTTCTTTATCTCGAATCTTTTAAAAGCAATGCGATTAATTGAAAGGGTGAAATGAAGTGTTTTCAATGATTTTTTGACAATGTGACATTTTAAGTGAAATCAATACTAATGTCAAGCTATTTGTTAATTTGATCCGAAGAAAAGAAAAAAACAAAACAAAACATAGCAGAATATGATATTAATCCGAATCCACAACTGGGAATGAACTTCCTTTTTGATGACAAATTAATGAAAATTCGTTATTCCGAATAGATAACCAATTAGTAGTATTTTATTCCTTACTCGAAATTATCCGGAAAAACGAAATTCCACCGTTAAACCAGTCTTGTTTACACACATTAAACAATCAAGGATAAATGACGAGATACGTTGATGAGCCGAAGGCCATAATGAATAAATATTGAGATGAACCTGGAGATCATCGGTGTTTTATTTCTGATAAAATTAATTTAGGTCTCCCTCGGGCCTGAACGAGCTAGTCCTCAAGTGGATGAAGATATATATACACACAGGTAGAAGTTGATCAGTATGTTACGGTGATATGAGATGTATGTATGACAAATATGTTTCCGGAGTAATACAGATGAAATTCCAGATGTGATATTGTTCATGAACAAAGTGTCTACAAAGCGAGTTTCCGGATTATCGAAAAATTTCAATGTGAGCAGTTTCTACTGCTGATATTCAGATGATATATCAAATTATATTTCAAATTATTTCTTTTGCCCAACCCGTTTAACATTATAAATTATTCAAAATTGTCCATTATTTGTGTATATTTTTATAAATGTAACGAAGATCATGTATTGAAGAGGTAGGAGTTTCAATGGATAAGGGACTCCCATGTTATTGCTATTTTCTCGTTGATGTTCACGTTTGGAACTTCCGAGTCTCCATTTCAATCGCAAAGACAATGTACATATATATTCATTATCATTATATCATGTATCCATCAGAATGACATATAATTAATTGTACACGAGACGATATTTAACGACGTTTGCGACATCTGGCCACAGGGATACATACAGCGTACACAAACAAAACAACAGATGTTATTTATTGTTATGTATTCTATAGAGCGCCTGGAGTGTTATCGACAAAAGCATTTATAAGTATATAAACTTACCTGGTGGAAGCAGAATAAATACGACCATTTCCACAATCATTTTCCTGTAATCCATTTCTTTGTTTTGATTGTTGTCCTTCAAATCAATCAAGAATTTCCTAAATTAAAGCGATTTAAAACCAGGTGGGTTTGTAAGAAACCATGTGACTTTAGTTTTGTCCAGTGCTGTATACGAAACGAAACTCCTAGCTGTGGGTGCACACGAAAGCGAGCCTGGATTGCCGCGTACGTTTTGTAACGGCGTATTTGACTGGTTGATGGTCACGGTCGAGGGACGCGGCCATATACTTGTCAACCTAAACGATAATTTGACGTCAGGACATGTGGGTTATGGTAATGCACATATAATGAGTAATACGTTTATTCTTACATGTATATGGGTTAACTTACGATTTACAGTTATCACAGGAACGACGTTCACTAGCACACTGACAGACATATAATTTGTAGTTTTTGTAATAGGTAATGTCACCTGTTGACAAATTATGCCTTAAAGTTATAATCCAAATTGTTTGTTTTACTAATGTGAAAACACAATCCTTCATTTTAAAAGCCGGTTTTTTATAATAAAAAGAAATTTATTAGAACGTCCCTCAATTTTCCTTTAACCAAGATTTTGTAATTCTATATAGTCCTGACAAATCCAGGTGACATACATTGCCCTATGAATGTCATGGTCCACTTTTGAGATTATTTTCATGTGGTGACATAATCTCTACGTCAGCTACCACTGAACACGTTCTTTTCACTATGATCGAGCATAAAGGAAGATAATCTGTTCGGAAAAAAAATTTGAGACGGCGGCCATCTTGGATTTTGCCGGTTTGAAATTAGAATCGTTGGATTATCAGTGTTCCGAAGATATTTCTAAAACTTTAAGTATAAGTTACCTTTGGTCATTTTTTTTGTCTGCTAAATAAAACTGACCGAAAACAATCTTGGAATTTGATAGTTTGTAATCGCTGTTTTTCTGAATGTTATTGCTAGATCTTTCTCAGGATGATCCGTATTCAAGAAATGATAAACGGAAAAGGGGAAAGAAGGAAAAGTAGTGGGCTTGGAGGGAGCGGTTGTACGCGTTTTGAGATCTAGTAATCTGGTACTTATTAATAGTGATATAAAGAAATGCTTTAGGACAGACAAACGGACGGTTGAACAGCTCAACATTTGATGAGGTAGATTGGAGAATCAACCAATTAACATACAAGACTGAACAAAAATATAAAGACATATACATGCTTTTTATTTGTAAATCTTAGCCTAAAAAAGCTGTCTATAAAATATAAATCTGGTACTAAACTTCAAAATACATTGATTAATAGTATTATGCAAGTTAGATTTCAGTGAGATATACATTGATATATCTATTTACATGAATATGATGATTGTACATCAATATCTATGTTATATATAACATAGAACACCATCTATCATCTCTCGCCCGATTTCATTCAAAGCACGCATGTTATCCTCACAAGAATGTCAGTCGGCTAGAAATCAGATAATGACCACCCAAACCTAAACATTACTTATATATCTTTATCTCCATTCTTATCATAATAATTAATTAAGTATATGCGATGATAATTATAAAAATATTATAATCGATCTGTCCCTCGAAATAGACGAATTCCCCTTCTGAACCGAGTTCTTATGTTGGTACTTGGAGAAACATATAGGTACAAAGGTTATATTTTAAGACAATGACCTTATATACTATTTATCCTGCAACATTGATTGAAAATTAGACAATCAAAACTCTTAATTTTGTTTACCTGACGCCGACGCTATGCTGAATTTTGCCTGATGATGTACTTAAAAATAATTGCTCCGCACAGAAATATAGTTCAAAAACTGCAACGACTATGACAGTGATTTTATGAATTTTCTTAAATTACCCAGTTCATAACAACATCTAAATGGCTTATTTCAACCGAGTTATTTTCTTTATCAAACGTAAGAAAGTAATTCTGTAGAATTAACGCACGTGCTGAAATACGGCTGTTTTCCGTCACTGCAGAACACAGCAAAAATATATGTGGCAGATGTATTCCGACAATGGCAGCGCCAGTTGCAGGACAAGAATGTATATCTCGTTTGAAAAATAGTTATCTCCCTTCATTCTGGTTATCTGGCAAAACTCTTTCAAAGGATTACATAAGAATATTGTATGTAAAGATATATCAAAACTTTGAAATAAACAACAGCACAAACATAATAAAAGGGAACAATATTTGTTATCAATATTTGTGAAACCAAGTGAACAAGTCATCTTCCAGAAGCACAAGTTAGAAAAAAAATCCCATCACATGCATACACTAATCATTTCTTGGAAAAAAATGAACTTTGATGGGACAAAAACATTCACTATATATTGTTTCAATTTAATCTATCTATATGATTAAAATTCTTCTTAAGAACCACATAAAAAATATGAACATTTTAGCATTCGTGTAGGGTTTTTCCTATGAATTGCTTGCTTATCAATATGCTGATGAATGAAACTTAGTGTATTAGTGAGACAGGAATAGAAATCAACCCTTTAATGACAGGAAAATAATTTGTCATAAAACAACATCGATGTATTCTTGATTAAGTGTGTTATCAATGTCTGAAATCGTGCTCTTAATAAACACAAATCTATCTGTATGCTTGCTCTTTTTTTAAACCATTCTTGGAGTTCAAGATAAATAAATGTTTGTCCTGATTTACAGCTGAGAAATGCGTATTGCTCATGGTGTAAAATACATTAACAAAAATAATTCTTCAAAATGTAACAAATTATTTCTTATAAATCTGAAATATGAAGGTATCAAACATAACAAAATTATTTGCAATAAATCTGAAAAAAAATGTACAAAATGTAACAAGTTATTGTGTTTTCTGTAACAGAAGTTTATGCACCACAGTAATTTCAAGTTTCAACACTCTATTACATTAAGCTATATAGAAAATAAATTTCTAGGTCATCACCTTTTACAAAATAAGCACTACTTCATCATGTCAGAAATTGGTTGTTAATCAAGAAACTAATAAAACGCTGATAACGATACAGCAAGGGCACTTGATTAAAATGAATTAATTTCTCTGCATTATCCAAACAAGTGTTCTAGAAACAAGGACGTTCAGTAGGTTAAAAAAATCTGAGTGTATACAATTTCAAACGGTATAGAAATTCTTCAGATATAACATGTAATCTAGTGGTGTGTCAGAAAATGATCAACACAAATGATACACTACGGCATTTCATGTATAAACTACCAAACCAGCATGTTGTACGAAATAGTAAAACTGCAATATCTAATATATTAATACAGCACGGTGCCCTCGTTCCCGATGTTGGTATCCAAAACGGTTTCCTCGTCATCGAAGTTGAACACGCCTTGCGTATTTGCGAGGTCACTTTGACGTCTGTTGAGACGAGAGATCTCGTCATCCGTAGCGTTGTTATTTGTGTTCTTGTCGGGATCAACTTGGATTGTCGTAGTGAGTCGAGACTTTGGAGTTTCCACCTCCGGTCCTATTTCCGTTACAATGACGTCTCCTTCTTCTTCCCCAAAATTCATTACAGATTCCTGATATAAAATTTTGCCATTTTGTTATTCTGATCATTTCATAATTTCCTTATAGATAAACCTTGATATTTTTGAAACACAAAAATGTTATTAATAGAGTTATTGCCCTTGTCGGTGTTTTATCATATTACTATGAACTCGCTACATCATCTTGTATACTATGTTTATCAGAAATTCAAGTAAACCGAAAAATGAAATTTAAAAAGTTTAACGTTATGCATCGTTTAGTAAATTACCTTTGGAGCAGGTTCTTCGTATCGTCCCCTGGAAAGTATCAGAGATTGAAAATAACACAAAAAATGAGACAAATGAATACGTTATACTCTCACAATAGACAATAATTAAAGCCATGACGGATTGTTTATATAAAGTGAAAATTAAAAAAAAACGTTCAAAACCATAGGTGTACAGGTATAACTTCAATTAACAAATTAATTACTTACCTCTAGGGCTGTTTAACATCTACATACAAGTACCTACATCCGATGTCACATAAACATATACATTTCACTTATGCCACTTTGTTCTACGTCGAGGACTAATTGGTATAATTTCTTGTGCAGTATCTTTAAGCATAATACCAGTGGTTTTGGAATAAGTAACTTCATTTCACATACTGTGTTTACCATCCGGTATTCATTAACACTGAAGCATGCTCAAAACGCACTGACAAAATTAAATTGATTTATAAAGCATTTTCCAGCTAAATAGTATGTTTCTTTGGTTGGTTTTTAAATGGTATTAATTACAGGTGTGGAATATTAATTAAGTTAGACGGAAAAATTAAGTCAGAAGCCAGTAAATAATCAGTATATCATTAGGGGGTTTGGATAGGACAGAAATAAAGATCTAAACTAAATCGAGGACCTGAACAATGACAAAAAATCAGACTATATCTACTCGGGGGTCTGGTCAAAGAAAAAGCTAGACTAAATCCAGGATCTAACCAAAGCTCTAGACCGAAGCTTGGATCAGGATATAAATCGAGACTAAAGCAGTGATTTAGTCAAAGACGGAGATCTAGAGCAAATCGAGGATCTGGACCAAACCGAAAATCGAAACTAAATCGGAGGTATGGACAAAGACAAACATTTATACTTATCGATAATCTGAACAAAGATACAAGACTAAATTGGGGACCTGGACAAAGATCTAGAGCGAATCGAGGATCTGGTCTCAGACAAGCATCCAGACTTAATGGGGATTAGGACAAGGACAAGCATCCAGACTTAACGGGGATTAGGACAAGTACAAGCATCCAGACTTAATGGGGATTAGGACAAGGACAAGCATCCAGACTTAATGGGGATTAGGACAAGGACAAAACTAAAGGCTAAATCGGGGATGTGGTCGGAGACAAAAATCAAGACTTAATCAAGATAAATACCTAAACTTATCTACAATAAATAGGCGACAGCGATCTAATCTAGACTTAATCGGGAGCCAGGACAAAAATCGAGACAATATAGGGATGAGGACAAATGTCTAGACTTAATCGGGATGATGGACAAAAATCGAGACTATATAGGGATGAGGACAAATGTCTAGACTTAATCGGGATGGTGGACAAAAATCGAGACTATATATAGGGGATGAGGACAAATGTCTAGATTTAATCGGGGGCCAAGACAAAGATCGAGACTATATAGGGGATGAGGACAAAGACAAAGGTCTAGACTTAATCGGGATTTTGGATTAAGTAGATATAGCTTCTACTGGGGTGTGATCAAAAACTAAAATGCCGACTTTATCGGAGACCTGTACAAAGATGGATAAGAAAACTTCAACGAAGCCTTTAAGTAACGCCGCCCCCCCCCCCCCCCCCACCCCTCACCCCCTCCCCCCCTATGCAATTGTCAATTTTGGCATTTCAGCCTAGGGTTTGGAACAAAAGTATGTTCGGATATTAATATAGCTAAAACATATATACTTACTGTTGCTTGATCCACGAATCTGAAAAACACCAATGAAAAACAATGTTTTAGTTTTATACCACATGAACGGAAAAAATGACAAGTACGAAAATCCAAACAGAAATGCTTTAATCATCACGAATTTTTGTCTCTCTGTAGCCGAATGCAACTGTAACAGTTTGAGTAGTTAATACTGAGGAGGCCGCAAAGTGATGATCATATTAAATGAATTATTTGACATACGATTTTCAGGTATTTTCCTCTAAATATTGATGTCCAATCTCGTCTAATTACGTGAATTCAAAATGTGTCAGGAAATTTTAAAGATTAATCGTTTATATTTCCTTACATCGCAGATTTGTTTTTTGTTTTAAAAAAAAAAGTTTCCTAGGCCAATTCATTTTATTTGCATTTCGTTTCCGATTGTCACGTCACTTCCTGTCCAATTTCCTGTTCACGTGCTTTACATCTCGATAGCTACACTCAATATTACAACTGGAATGTACGTTTTCTTGAATAATTGAAGCAGGGATATGAATCACGTGTCAATGCGAACATTCTGTCTCATTAATATTACATAAGCATCCTTAAACTGTCTCGACATATTGTTCAGTTCAGTTATTACAAGTTATGTCACGTTACCTCCTATGCTGCATCTAGACTAATACCTTAACACTCAAATTGTGTATCTTCTAATTATCTAACTTATCGTAAACAAACAAAACATCGCTATTCAGAGCTACCTTAGAGTTATTATCATGGCATTTTGTTAATTAACACGTAATGAAAAATAACATTTGATTAAATCAGAGACCTTACCAAAGATTAAGGTCAATATTTAAAACTAAGACAAAATTCAGTTTAGTTATTTAGTGATTATGGTTAGTAGAGTTATAACCGTCGCTTCAAACTCAACTGATTAACAACTGTTGACTCAATTGATTATACAAATGTACAGGGAGGTTATGAGGCTGTCCGTGTCATATTCTTTTTTCGACTGATTTTCAATATTTTACTAAAATAGACCGCATGTACTAAAACACGAAAAATAATTATCAACGTCAAATAGAGTAAACATATATCCATGTTTTTTTCTTCCATTATTTTCATTTTTTATTGTTGCACTTTAAAAAGTTCTAAAAAATGAAGGCAAACAGCATGACTGTTCTTACCTGCTTTTTGATAGGTTGTAGTAGTCGGGACCATGAGCTTTGTCGACCTCATGGATGGCGGATATGACGTCAAATGGAGTGATCTACTTTCCGGTTCAATTATCTCGACCCGACTTCCACGCAATTTTGCGAATCTTATGTGGCGGGGAATTTTCACTTTGCTACGAGCTAATTGGTATCGCGGAAACCATCTATGCCTGAAGTGAAAGATAATTAAAACAAAATTTATTAACATTGTGACCATTCTTTACATGTACTATACAGACTGTTAAATATGACAAGAGGAAAAAGAAACGCAACTTTATAATGAATTATAACGTTTATAAGCAATACGCCTAAATCTTAAATAAAATAGTTAACTTCGAATATTGGACCATCTGCCTTCTAATTTTCTGAGATTTTAACAAATGAATTCAGGCCGGCATGAATTAGGGTACCCTAATGTACACGAAGCTGAACTAATGGTAGCTCTTATCGAGTGGAAGTTGTTAAATTAACACCAATTATCACTAAATGTGTCTGAACTATGGTGAATTCTTCTCCCTAAATCATAACCGATCCACACCGTTTTCTCATCCTCCAAAATAATTGTCTGCCAGACACTCTCCTCGACGCCGGTAAACACATTGACGCCATCTGATCGAAATTACGTCAATCGAGATTTATCCGTGAACAGCATGGACCTCCAACGTCTCTTGAGAAACGTCTGGTCACATGTTCCGTCAACCATCGCATATGACGTGCTCGACGTTGAGGTGTAAGTGGCAAACCAACGTACTAGCGATGTATGCATAATTTGCTTTTCGCCGTCTATTTACCACAGTTTTTGGGTGAGTTTAACGAATTCCACTACCAATGGTATTTCGTGTTGTTAATCTTCTGTCACGCAAGTTGACAAACCTAATAAACCGATCTTGATGTCGCGACGTCACACGTGAACGACTGGATCTCGGTCTGTCATTACCTCTTCCCGTGACGTTTAGACGTAAAACTCACCGACTTATAGTCGATTTGTGAACTCCGAAGTGAGCAGCAACCTGCTGTTGAATGCTACCTCCCATGAGCATTAGGACAGCCCGTCCTCCACCAAGTTGTGTTACTGGCATTAATATTCAATGTTTATCAAAACAATTATTGATTGCAAATGTATTGGCGTTCACACGTTATACGTCTTGGTGATAGACAGAAATCGATAATAGTTTGAATGGAAAAGAACGTATGCATTTGTACAGTCACGGTATATTGGTAATTTGGGCGCATAGACGTGGATAAGTTTTTTTGCCACCGATAACAAATTTCAACAATTTTTCGGGGGGTAGGGTGGGGGTGGGGGTTAGGGAAGGTGCCCAGACACTCCTATTTTTTAAACGGCTATTTATATTCAATACAAAGTATTTTACTATTGAAGAAGTTGCATTTCTTTATCCTTTCCTGAATGTTTGTTTTTGTTTTTCAATTAACAAATTACTCATTTATATCCTCCTTATAATAGCCCTCCAAAAGTAAGCTTTATCAACAGGAACATGGTACACAAACTGATAAATAGAAACTGACGCAAATAAATACTGATCAATGTAAAACTACACTTACCAAATGATACCCATTGTGAGGACGACAACTAACATTATTAGGAAGAACACAGAGGCTATACTGGAAGCCACGAGGCCAGAAAGGGTGTAGTTGTCACAGAGCACACCTGCAATGTATAATAAAAATTGTAGTTGTCACAAAGCACACCTGCAATGTATAATACAAATTGTAGTTGTCACAAAGCACACCTGCAATGTATAATACAAATTGTAGTTGTCACATAGCACATCTGCAACGTATAATAAAAAATGTAGTTGTCACATAGCACACCTGCAACGTATGATAAAAATTGTAGTTGTCACATAGCACACCTGCAACGTATAATACAAATTGTTGTTGTCACATAGCACACCTGCAACGTATAATACAAATTGTTGTTGTCACAAAGCACACCTGCAATGTATAATACAAATTGTACTTGTCACATAGCACAGCTGAAATGTATAATAAAAATTGTAGTTGTTACATAGCACACCTGCAACGTATAATAAAAATTGTAGTTGTCACAAAGCACACCTGCAATGTATAATAAAAATTGTACTTGTCACATAGCACAGCTGCAACGTATAATAAAAATTGTAGTTGTCACATAGCACACCTGCAATGTTTATTACAAACTGTAGTGGTCACATATCACAGCTGTATGAAAAATACAAGCTGTAGTTGTTACGAATCACACTTGTGAGGAGTAATACAATTGTAGTTTTTTTTACATAGCACACGTGCAAGTTTCGGTATAACGCAACTGACACTATATCAAGGTTTGTCATAAGTTATGAAGTTATCATAAAACACACCTGTAATGTATATAAAATATTAATACTGTAGATGTCACATATCACACATGTAATGTATAACAAAAATAACGCTGTATTTATAATATTTCCTGAATGATACTGGGTTAAATCTTCACGCAAAGATTCGAACCTATCCATCAGTATGTGTCACACAGGTAATACACGTAAGACATGCGCTGTACTCGTTCTTTTATTTCTTGTAGTGGTGTTTCTTTTTTTGTTGCATTCATTTAACAAATGTATATAAACATACTCCAGAGTTGATTTAACTCATTTCTTTCTTTCCGTGCACTGAAATGAATATGGGAAAAGTATGTTTTATGGCCACCTACAGGGGGTCAAGTGAAACGATCAAACAGTGTGAATGGTCTCCCTTCCCGGAAATGATCGTACACACGAATGATTTTATATCTAGACATTTTTTCGAGATACTCAAGCGGATAAACCTGATAAATGGCGGTGAAGTAACAAAGAGGTAGCCCCACAGACAAAATACTGCAAGAATGAACAAAGGGGGAATAACTCTGCGAATAGGGCATATACCACAACATGAATACGCGATAATTGGGAAAGGCCGTGTTGTTAACTAAATCAAAATGTAAGGTTAAGAACTATTTCGATACATTCCAATAAACATTGGGAAACAGTCCTGTGTCAAAAAAGATCGACGGTGAAAATACGTTATCAAATAATACAGGGCAACTGACGTGTCACATGACCTTATTTCAGTACGGCCAATATAATCCTAGACTCTTTAAGTGAACGTAGATACTGAATGAAACAAGGAGAAAGTTTTTCAATATTTGTTGACGACAGCTAATGGCCAAGTATACCATGACAACTATGTATACTCCTTAGTGTCATCTTTGTTAATAAAAAAACCACATAGAAAATACCAACATGGCTACATAAACATATCTGCAATTATTTCTGTCTATAGTGATGCGAATTTGATGAACCCGCCAACCCCCATATTCCTTTAAACCTACAGCCGTGAAATCTACAGTAATTTCGCTCGAAACGTGAACAATGCTTGAATCTCACACAGAACATTAATTTTACAGTCAAAAGTACATTCGCATACTTGGTTACAAACCATTCACTGACGTTTTACAACTGTTGTAGAATAAAGGGCACGTATGTTACCCATTTAGGAAACTTTACCTCGTCTAACGCTCAGTCGGCCGGAATATGATTCGGTCTTTACGATTCAACTGAAATAATTAATGGAACATATTTCGCCACAGCCGTGTCGTTATCGAAATATAAGATTTCTATATTAATATTCTTCCCGATGATTCAATTAAACAATGACCCGAGTTTTGTGGTTTGACCGTGCTAAATTTACAATTTTCTTTCTTTTTGTATACTTTTAATTAATTTTAGAAGCTGAATATATGTACATCGTCGGTCAAAGGACGCCGGTCTATAGGACGGCATATGCATCCATCGGCAAATTGCAGCTGTGTAGACTAGAGAAAAACCATCATATATACAGCTTATATTAATCCTTACAAATCTGTTGAGGAAGTAAAAATAATCTAGCGGCCTTCGAGTCTTGATTCAGGTGCCCCTTTTTACATTCTCGATGTATATATCCTGGGTACAATTATATTCGAGGACGTGTATTCATGTATACGCTAAAAGTGTATACAATGTATTCAATCATTGTACAAATGAAACGCCCATGGTCTTAAAGCCGTACATACATGGACATAAGAAACCAGATACCAGGAAGACTTTAGAGTTATGTCATGTGACACCCCGATGAGGTAAAACCACCCTTTTTCACCGAGACAATAAGGCCGTATATCTCTTACTTTGAAACGAATAATAACTCAAGCGACCGTTTTGAATCAATTTACGTAATACGAGTATCAAATTCAAATAATACTTAAATATTTCAAAACGTTTTTAATGTTTAACCAAACTTAAAAATTAATTTGGTCTCGCAGTACGTCTTAAATTGTGGAAAAATTTAAACAGTACTACTGTTAAACATTGAAGTACATTTATCATGAAGTGGGCTGTAGAAGTGTTATTATCATAACACAAGTTTACATATGATTTTTCTATTGGGTTGACATACGATACTCCTGTTCAGATCTTTGGTAGTCGCCGTAATAATCAAAACAGTGACATTGTTTTACACTTTTCTGTATATTTGCATTAAACTTGACAGCTTTGGGACGATGTACAAAATTCACAACATTTATTTCCCATTTAGGCAACGACTGTCATTCACCTTAACCTTGGTAGCATCGCTATATCAAAAGAGAGTCCTCTGGTCGACCCGCATGTGTGTACGTGTTGAAGGAGTGAATGCGGTGCTTGGGGTGCTCATAAGATCTGCTGTGAAATAGAGGGGTCCCCAGAGCTATCTCTAAGAGGAAGTGAAAAACGAGGTCTGTATAGTGGTGATTGTATCAGTGGACTATAGAAGGGATTAGAAAGCCAGATAGAGAGAAAGTTTTTCTATCAGTCGTGATGGTGGTGGTAGGAAAGTGTGTATGTATACTGAACAGAGAGATTGAGGTTGCTGCTACTGAAAGGTGATAAGGTCGGGAGAGCGGGGAGGGTTCATGGAAGACAGTAAGGTCTGGGAGAGAGGGGAGGGGTTCATGGAAGGTAGTAAGGTCGGGAGAGCAGGAAGGGGTTCATGGAAGGTAGCAAGGTCGGGAGAGCGGGGAGGGATTCATGGAATGTAGTAAGGTCGGGGGAGCGGGGAGGGGTTCATGGAAGGAAGCAAGGTCGGGGAGCGGTTCATGGAAGACAGTAAGGTCGGGAGAGCGGGGAGGGGTTCATGGAAGGTGGTAAGGTCGGGAGAGTGGGGAGAGGTTCGTGGAAGGAAGTAGGGTTGGGAGAGCGGGGAGAGGTTCATGGAAGGTAGTAAGGTCGGGAGAGCGGGGAGGGGTTCATGGAAGGCAGTAAGATCGGGAGAGCGGGGAGAGGATCGTGGAAGGTAGTAAGGTCGGGAGAGCGGGGAGAGGATCATGGAAGGTAGTAAGGTCGGGAGAGCGGGGAGGGATTCATGGAAGGTAGTAAGGTCGGGAGAGCGTGGAGAGGATCATGGACGGCAGTAAGATCGGGAGAGCGGGGAGAGGATCATGGAAGGTAGTAAGGTCGGGAGAGCGGGGAGAGTCTAATGGAAGGTAGTAAGGTCGGGAGAGCGGGGAGAGGTTCGTGGAAGGTAGTAAGATCGGGAGAGCGGGGAGAGGATCATGGAAGGTAGTAAGGTCGGGAGAGCGGGGGGAGGTTCATGGAAGGCAATAAGGTAGGGAGAGCGGGGAGGGGTGCAGGGCAGTCAGTAAGAACTGGAGACCGCCGACAGAATCATGGGAGGTAGTAAGGTCGGGAGAGCGGGGAGAGGCTCATGGGAGGTAGTAAGGTCGGGAGAGCGGGGAGAGGTTCGTGGAAGGTAGTAAGGTCGGGAGAGCGGGGAGAGGATGATAGAAAGTAGTAAGGTAGGGAGAGCGGGGAGAGGTTCGTGGAAGGTAGTAAGGTCAGGAGAGCGGGGAGGGATTCATGGAAGGTAGTAAGGTCGGGAGAGCGGGGCGGGGTTCATGGAAGGTAGTAAGGTCGGGAGAGCGGGGAGGGATTCATGGAAGGTAGTAAGGTCGGGAGAGCGGGGAGGGATTCATGGAAGGCAATAAGGTAGGGAGAGCGGGGAGGGATTCAATATTGTTTATGGAAGTTGTAAGATTACGTAGGTTATTCAGAGGATTTTTATAGTTTCGGATGCGTTTTGGTGTGTTTATAGTACTAATATACAAAATATTGATTATTTCTCACTGTTTAACCACGTGGATATACATCCTTAACAATGTTTAACATTAATCATACGCAAAATAAACCAAACAGGTCTTATGCAAACACTCATTATCATTTACATTACAGCCTATACCATTACACACCTGTCTGAAGCATTATACACACATAAGTATGACACGCCCGTAGCGTTAATTAAAGGTGTGTTAGTGATAACTAAGAACATTGTATTACGTAATTCCGAAATTTTAGTGTACAACGTCGACAGTGTTTAAAAAGACTTCACTGTCATATCAGCCCGAAATAGAGAGTTTAAAACCGGTATTTTTACAATAAGCGCAATACATACGCAGTGAGTACCGAACTTACTATACGATACGTACACAGCTTGCACAGTTCAGGGTGAATAAACAGAGAAGTTCAGGTAATGGTCATTGAAAACCAGTCATGCGTACCATTATCAGTCTTTAAGATAAAGTCTACACTACTAGAATGGAAAAATGTCCCCATTTAGAACTGACATTTCCCTAATACAACGAATTTCACATTTTATACAACTTAACGTACATTCCACTTTAAAATGTAACCAACTGTCAAAGAAACAGGCAAAGCTTATGGGTTTCCTTTTTCTTCAGTACACTCGATATACGCATATATAATACACAGTGCATAAATACATAAACGTATCAGCACAAGGGACAACTATGTGCTAATATCATTAAAATTTTCAAATAAACCATACATTTTCAAATTATAAATAGAACCAAAGTTATTCACCTGGTATAAAGCCGAGAACAAGAAGGAATACCAGACCCGTGTTGGGCGTGCACTGCTTCACTTCCGGTGCCATTTTTGGATACTTTAGAAAATGTCACCAACCACTTTTACACTGAGTGTAAACCTTTCTCCCCCGATGTGTTTTAATCAAACTTCCTGAGATATCCTCGAAAATCGGGGCGAAAACCTTCCAAATTGCTTCTTTTACCGTTTCAGGTAAAACACATCCTGGTCTTTTCAATGTCCCACAGCTCGAACACCGGGTATATACACGTTTGTGTTTCTTGAACACAGCTGGGCGTGACTGAAGCCGTGCAAACACACATACACTGAAGTTCGCTGACAATTAGACAGGCTGCCTGGTCGAACTAGCGTTTCCTCTTTGCCTGTTACGGACATGGATTTAAAAAAACGAAAATTTCGAGGTTATATTTCAAATTCTTTTTTCAATCGAAATTAAACCTATCGAACTAATCGTCCTTTCACTAGTCTTATCACCGAATGATAGTTTTGTGTTAAAATCCTGCAAGCAGGATGTACCTGTACGTATTAAACACTATTTAGCCATACATGTGCGCTGAACCGTGTCGGTGTCATTAAGGAAAGCTCGCCAGGTAAGTGACTATTGAATGACTACGTTACAACTAAAAATAGCTTGGTCTGAAGGTAGATGAACGGGTAATACCGGTGAGCGAAGACACAATACATTGTGATACTAAAAATGTGAAATGTGTTAATGCCAATGTAATCACAATAGCATAACTTTGATGTAAAAATAAGATTTACAACGTGGCGGATTTTCAACTGCTTTTTTCTTTTAAATATATTATAATTGATTTTTTTTAATCTGTGAAATTAATATGTCTCACGGCATGTATACTGTTTGTTGACTATTTTCCCGTGTTTGCTTTGACCTTCACTAGGACTTCCCTCACCTCGCTCAGACAGCCTCAGGTGCAAGCTTTCGTTTTAACGAGAACATACCTTTAATTTGCCAAGCTTAATTAATGTATTCCCCCAGGAAAAAAAGATATTTCGCTTTCTTATCTTCTCACATAGCATTCTGAAGATTGTCCTTTAATATGATATTGGTCATGTGTTCAAAAGTATACTGAAGGCGATATTTTAATTAATTGATTTAATTATTATTTACCTCCAGAAAAGCTATCGGTTCTGTGGCTAGGGCAGATATAATTTTCCTTTTAAAGTTTATAGTGTTTCAGCATTGAAAAAAATCACACCATCCTGGCTTTGTTATGTCTAAAAAGGACATACCTCGTATATCGCCCTGTTATGTAATTGAATACGAAATTGATTAACTTCTAGTTGATGTTTTTCACTTAATTAAAAGCACCCGAAGATATAACTACCGAAACGTCAAATTAGTTATCTCCCCTGTATGGAACTCGTAGATAACATGATGTACATGTGAGAGCCGGCCACAAAATCTACATTGTCATGTAAGGAATGGTCTTTTCAAGATGGCGAACGTTGACGGTAACAAAACGTAGATACTCACTTTAAGCTAGAAAGTCACTGTTTTATGAATACAATCTGACCTGGACAAGTACCACGCGAAACTCGGAATACTCGCCTCGATGCCGAATTCAACAGTTCGCTCAATTTTGCGAAGGACTCGCAATAACTTATGGCCATAACAGCACCATGCAAATACTGAAGTACAAATTTCGTGTATTCTGAGTTTCGCATGGTACTTGTCCAGGTCAGATTGTAAATGCTATCATTTGGACATGACTGAAATAAATAAATTTAATATTTTTAGAAAACAAATTACTGAAAATTTATTAATTTGATAAATAAATAAATCGACCGCAAAATCGCCTCTCTGGGTGACGTAGTATGTTTGCTAGTTATCTACTTATCATTTGTCATTACGTAACAGAGGTCAATACTTATTTCAATGCTAGGGTTCCGAACCTGAGACGTCTGGCTTATTAGATTGACGCTGAACCGATCGAGCTAAAGGAAAGTTTTCTCTAGCCGAGCGATATCTTTCCCTAGACAACTAACGACTGCAGACACGAAAGACGTCAGGACCGTCATTCAGAAATGACCCAAGTGCGACATATGAGATTGAATAAGATTACAGAGTCACTGTAAATAAAACGGCCAATTTATTCTCGTTCTGAACATGAATAGAAACTGGTTTCACGAAAACAGCTGAAATGTAGAATATGGCCATCTTAATAAACCTATATGAAGCTCTGAAAAAGAAATTCTAGTCATTCAGTATGTGCGCAAACCATGACAAGGTTATCTGTATTTAAGGTAAACGTATTTCTTCTACATTAAATGCATTGTTACGACGTGTTCATTCATCCGTAAAACAGTAGAAATTATATTTTATAGGACATTTACCAAACTTTTGATTAACATCGCTAAAAACCTTTGGAGCAGACTTTAGGGGACTTGGATAAATATGTCAGATTTTTAGCTAGTCACTCGGCGGATGTATAAAATGTTCTATCGTTAAGTGTACTGCATTGCATATTCTTCATTTTGTAATTTGATTCTGTTTGAAACTGTAATTAAGATAAACGAGTGTACTGTAATCGCCAAAACATTAATTATTTGGGGTGGAAATGAAAATGACACCCGTATTTACACAGTTTGTTTGCAAATATAAAAGTTTAATCTTCCCGGATTTTGGAACTCGTTTTCTACATATGAAGCGGGTTACACGTCTTGGTTGATAGATCACATGTTAAATACATTACTTGGCAAACAAACTCAAGATGTGCACCATGATAATACCAAAGTACCCAATCCATTGTCAATTTTGAACTAGGTTGGTATAATTCTGACGAATTTCCTAATTTGTAAGCAGTGTTAAATCTGGATCCTTGAGTGCTTGTACGGATAAGATTTATTATATAAAGAACAAACTCGTATATTTGCAATAGCGTTCGGTAGTCTGCAGATGAAACTTACCATTTCTTGTCCTTATATTCATCGATATTTTACACATAGCTATTGAGTCGATACGGTCTCGTTATTACCTATGGCGGTTGTAAGTGCGCGACGTTTGCTTACATTTTTCTATAAACGTGGTTTAAGTGTAAAGAGTCATGTCATACATCAAGATGCTATGTCACGTGATACATGTATTTGTAAATTTGAAAATAAATATAATCAGCACAAGCCATTGGAATTAGTTGTTGTGTTCACGTTGTCTATGACCCCCACTTAGCGCCGCCTACTGCTTCCGGTGTAATATGGTTGTTCAGTTAAACTTGCCGCTGTTCTAACGATGTGTATGAGGTTGTCCTTTTGAGTGTTTTATTGAAATATATGGTTATCAAAAATAAACAAGAAAATTGTTATCAATTTCCTGCACCTGCATCAAAATGTTTCGACATAGGGATAACTACAATTGTAACGCGCACCAAGCAATACAGAGTTACCCCAATGTATATACACTTTGATGTAGGAGAACTCTTGCCCAAGCAAATGCATTCTAGAGACTATGCTTACTGCATGGTATCACTGAGTTAGTTTTTGGGTGGATGTGCATCAAGACGTTTGGCTGGGAAATGGGAGGGGAGGAGAGGGTTGGGGTTATTGCTCTGTGGCGGCATAAGGTCAAACAACATATTCCCACTACCGATAAACAACGATTCTATTGCAGACATGGCTTTTTTAGCTTTCTTTGATTTTGCACTAATCCTAAATTTATCTTGTGTATTATGTATGAAATACGGGAACATCCTGGTGCGTTCCGGGACAACACAGTTGTCGGTAAGGCCCTGACACGACACGTTCCGAAAGAGTCCACCTTCATACCATTCGGATGTATTACAAAAAAGTGTGCATAATTTAAGCAAAATGTACTTCATGTGTTAAATAAGAATTTGTATCTCCATATTTATTCTGGTACCTCTAACACAAGATTTATCTCGATATAAATTTATCGCCCAAACAGCTCACAGCTGTGTCCAGCAGACTATCATAATCCTTCGTTTGACTTCATCGCTCGTCTGTCATAAGTATGGCCAACACATGTGTCTGCGGGACAAGTGACAACTAATACTTTCTTTGTAAACTTGTTCTCGGGTTTACCGTAAAACATGGTTTAAATAAACATTTGACATGGAACGTCTACTCACTCACCCGTATGCGTACCTAGTATTCACCGTACACACTGACGGGCTAATAGTGTGTGTGTGTGTACCTTGAAAGGCGTTGGTAGATTATATGGAACACACTTAGAATCTGTATTACCTTAGTCACTGTATTGATAAGTACACGGTGATTATCAGATTTAAAACTAATAAAGGTGAAAACGGGAAAAAATAACAATTCAAAGGAAGGTGAAAATATAGGTTGGTTTCAGGTTTCAAACCCGAGATGAACCATTGTCCCGAATAAACATGGTTTTCACATAAAGTGTGATATATTTCAGACTTCTAGTATAAACATGACAACTCGACAAGGCAAATCTAATACAGACAATTAACACAAGGTCAGGTCACTGTGAACTTCCTAGTATTTCTAGTGACGTGGTCACAAAGCGTTCAATAGCAACATGTCTGTTCAATCGATGGAGTATTGTTTGAACAAGGCGAGTACATTATGTCTGTAGTGAAGACAATAAAGGCGTTAACTTTAATGCATATACAATGATGCTATTGAAATTGGGGAATTACCTATCAAATCGTCGATTTTACACTGTTTTATTTCAAAGTAGGAATATTTTACAACATGATTAACCAATAGCGTTGTTTAAACCACCATATAGACATCTGTCATACGCCATAATGATATAACTGATGCTGTTGTAGGTACGTTTAGTCACGTGGTAGTCATCTACCTTTCTTTTCCATATTTTCTACAACCAACCAATGGAATTTATATATATCGAGTCCACTGCTGGCATGGAGCATTCTGAGATCTCACAGAGTTACTGCCCTTCGTTTCGCTCTGTCAGATGGTATAGAGATAAGCTTGACAGCCGATGGGGGCAAAGAGACGTTTTAAATAAGTGAAGCTTTTGGGCATAACCGGTGTGGAAATGTTTAACAAGAAGTGGAGTTGATAATCAGATGACCTGTATAGTCATATCTGAAGCAACCGTAATACTGTCTGCCTGTTCAGAGATGTCTTCGATAGGCCAATGTTTACTGGACACATCGGTCGTTGTAGATCGTTGAACAATCTTCGCCGATG